TATGACAACTTGGTCAAGTCACCACCAAGCTCTCTTATGAAGCAGTTAATCAAGACAGGATAAATCACATTCGTCAGAAGTTTTTTCCACATGTCCAGTACTCCAGTAGATTTATATAGTGCCTTTCAAATTGCGAGGACATCTCTGAGCGCTTAACATTGGTTGGGTACTTGAGTTGGGACACCCGCTCAAGGGAATGATACTTTTGAGGGGGGATGTAGAAGGGAAGGAAAGGCGAAATGACTAATCTTTTGTCTCATTTAAAGCTTGCCAATTTTAAACCAGTTTCTAGCTGTGGATTCATGGTTCAAGTTAAATAAACTCCTTTCATCTGTGGCTCTCAGGAAAAAAAATCTATTGACCTCAGATTTTAAAATTCCAAGTGTATCAAGGTGGGTGAATGAAGTTGAAGTACAGATCAGCCATGATTTGGTGGAACAGACTCGAGAGGACGAATGGCCTTCTCCTGTTCTTATGTTCCTAAAATCTGAAATGAGGTGTGCCTTTCATTTTCTCCATAGAACATTTTCACCAATGAAAAGCTCTCTGAGGCATCGTTCATCACCTGAAGCCCTGAATCTTGGAATAAGCCTTATTGCTCTTGTCTCAACTCTATCCAACACGCCAAAATCCTCCCAATACTCTGTGTATTTGATATAGTACCTTATCACGTTGTCATTGATGTCTCAAAGCCCTTCACAGGATTTTACTGTGAATTGTAGTAACTGTGTGTAGGTGAACCAATTTAAATTAATCTCAACATTTTCAGAAATAAAATCAAACACAGACCAATCATAACTTGCACAGAGCTGAATATTTTTATCGTCTTTGCAAATCTCCTCACTTGTATCTCGGTTTCTTCCACCTGATTTTTTTTGACGGACATTTCTTCTTGTTGAGTCAGAAGCTTTTCTTGTGATTGGCAGTCTATGTGTGCATCATGGAAACTCTGCAGATAATTCCTGTTCAAGTGAACCTGTTTGTGGTGCTGCTTGCATTGTGAGCAGGCTGACAGTAGAATATTTTTAACCTTTTATTCCCCTCAGGCAGTTGGTGGGGTCTTTAGAACACGCAGTAGCATTTCTGCTATGGCTTCTGTCGAGGGAGTGGTTCAAATTTTTTTGAATGGAAGATTTACATAAATTTACAGTCCAACCAATCTGTACCAGTGTTTCTACTCCACACAAAAACCTCTACCCACTCCTTACTCCCTCCCGTACTCTTCTATTCCCTTCTTCCTCACGTGTATATCTAAGATCCTTTCATGAATGTCCTTTTGATGAAGGCATTACAGTATAGGAACATAGGAAATGCTGGACCAAAAAAGACCAAAGTCCATCCAGTTCACCTTCCTGGCAGTTGCATGCACGTCATGTCCTGAACTGCTCATATGCTCAAAATATTATTTCATAAAATAAATAATCTAATTTGCATTTAAAGAATCAACACTTTCTGCTTCTATTGCCTCCCTAGGGAGTCTGTTCCATACATAATAATAAAATAATAATAATCCTTGCACTTGATGTAGCGCTTCTCACGTCTTCTAGACATCTCAAAGCGCTTCACAGAATATACTGTAAAGTGTAGTGACTCTACATTTGTGGGTGAAACGCAGCAGCCAATTGTGTACAGCAGTATCCCACAGACAGTTGTGGGTTGAGTGACCAAATTATTATTATTTATTTATCTTGAGGGATTATTATCAGGACTATGGAGTAAGGAAACTTGCCCAAAATTTCATCCTGCTGGGAATCAAACCCAGGTCTCTTGCTTGCAAGGCTCTAACCACTGAACTACAGGACTCCAATTTACCGCTCACTCACTGAAGTAGTGTTTCCAGAGTTGTTTTGAATTTACCCCCCTTCAATCACAGGCAATGTCTTCTGCTTCTGCTGTTCTGGACAAGATATAACAGCTTGTCATCTTAAAAACTGCAATCATTGTCTATTATTGCTTCAGCTGCCAGTTTGATTTTGCTGTTTTAGAAGAGAGATTCCTTTAAATGTTGAATTGGAATGACTTGAATGTGTAGAAGTGGTGTCTTCACTTTCTCTTTGCTGCCCCCCCACCTCACCTGATATGGTAATCAATGAAACCAGGTCATGCATTTGAAGTCCAGATGCTGCCTTTCCATTGACTTTTCCTAAACCAGAATAAATGCCCTAATCCTGCTAACTGCTAGTCCAAAGTCTTGAGCCAGAAGTCAAATGTGTGGATGACTGCAATGGGAAGGGAAGGTGGCTGGTGACCATGGGTCCTGGTCCATAATGGCTTTGGTAGAGGCCAGGGACCAAACCTCCTCTCTCGCCCCTTTGCCTGCAGGTAGTACTCTTCTACTCGTCTACTTCACTCAGCTGGTTTGGGCTTTCTTTATATTATTGACCCCTCTGTCGATGGCTGTGCTTTCAGACACTCTGCCCTCTGCTTTACCCCTTTTTCGCTGTTATCAGATCGCACCTGAGGACTTTCCCTCAGCTCGGTTTCAAACAACGCCATTGTTAATTGCTACCCCACATGAAGGGTGCTATAGAAATGCAAGTTGTTACTGTCATCTGTGATGAGTTAGCTCAGAGGTAGCCAACCCATGGCTCACGGTCCAAAAGTGGCCCACTGAACACTCACACTAGCCTAGGTAAATCTGTTAAATCAATATTTTGTTTCCAGCAGCTACTGAGTAACAATTACCCCTCAACAGGTTTGAGGGGCTGAATAACCAACTCTTGTTTCTATGTATCTATTTATGGTGTAGCCATGAATCAAGAATTTTTTATTTGGTTGGCCGACTGAGAAGGTTGGCCACCACTGAATTACCTGATCTCAGCTGAGGCAGCAGTGCGGACCATTGTGTTCCTAACCTCGGAGGAGAAAATTAGCCAGAGTTTATGATCGTCTCCCAGTGATCATTGCTGGAAAATGCAGTGTAATGGACATCGGGTTAAGGAAGAAATGGACCCTCGATATCTCTTGACTGTCTATCTGTATTTCTCCCTTTGTTGCATATGTTTTGAAGAGTGATTGCTCTCTGTGGAGTGAGAGGAAAGGTTAACATTTTCTGAACGAGCTCTTTCAATAGCAAATATTGAAACATTTGAGAGCCTGGGAACAAATATTTCTTCTGCAATTATTCAAAGAAGATAAAAGAATGACAATTAAATAAATCCTCTTAAACTCTAATGCCTAATTGCTTTTAAAAAAACGAATTGATTTAACCAGCTATTAATAAAGCTGTGATCAGAGGGGAGAAAATCAAATTAATTGATTCCAGTTTCACATTCTGTTTGTTATATAATCCAGCTATAGAGTTAGCAGCCACGGCAGCAACAAGCTCTGCTGATGAGTCTAATTAGAAAAAATGAAATACTTTGCTGCTTGTATTTGTTTTAGAGAAGTTTGTCTCTTGGAAATAAGAGAATGTTTCAACAATTCTCTAAGTATAAAATGCAAAGAGTTTTGAGTGAGGGAAGCCAATATTATAGGCAAGGGTGCTTCCATTCAAATGAAAAGTTCGTTAGGAATGTTTTTATGTGGTAACATCATCCTGGTATCTGATATAGCACATAGAATGCCATTTCTCATTGCACCTCACTGCTGTCCATATAGTGACTGTGCAATTGTAGGCAAATATGGCCGCCATTTTCTGCACAGCATAGTCTCAACAAATGGTCATGATACGAATGATCAATTTATCTAGAAGATTGTTGGCCAGGATGAAGTAAACTCCATTCTCTCTTCAAGTAGTGGGAGATCTTTAATATCCATCTGAACAGGTAGACAGGACCTCGTCTTAACAGCTCATCTAAAAGCAGTACCTCTGACAATGCAGTGCTCCCTGAGCTTTGTATTGGAGCATCAGCCTGTAGACACTTGGTTGTGGTGCTTGAACCTAGAACTTTCTGATTGAGGCAAGAGCGTTTATATTAAAAGAAAGCAACCAGATCTGTTCATGGAACAAGCTTGGTTCCACACTATCATGAATCAATTTAATAGAGGCAGGGCTGGTGTAGGAGAAATGACTGACTAAAAGATTTTTTTTCAGCAGGTGTATATAAATTAGTTTTCTGGTACTTGTAATGATGAAAGAAAAAAGATTCTGGAGAACGGAAATAAAAACATGAAATGCACAACTTCTGAATCAATGTGTGGAAGGAGGACCTGCTGCAATGGTTGGAGAAACTAGTGGTTCCCGTACTGATCCACACGCTGTGTGTTTCCTTCGTATCCTGCTTTTGTAATGTGACTTTTACCAGGCACTTTTTGCTGGAAATGTGGAGTGAAAGGAGGAGGAGGTGCTGCAACATTCTGAGCCTCCGCTATTTTCAGTAACCTGAAGAGATTGCCTGTGGCAAACAAATGTCCCGTGTATGTGTAATTACCAGTAAAAACAATAACTGCAGTATTCACTAGTTTAATTTTTGACTTCCCACTATTTTCATTGATCAGTGTAAGCGTGGTAAGGAGATCCACCACTGAGAGACGGAGAGAGGCTTCTCTGGTTAAAACCAATATTTAATTTACTGACGTGTCTCGTGTGTTATCAGCAGAATATCTGAGGAGAAATGAACTGAGGTAGTAACCATGAAAGAATCTGGTCAGGCCACTTGTACAGCCGAACATCTTGTCACTTGGCCTCTATATAACACGAGTACAACATTTCACCAGGCTTGTAGACAATGAGTACTGGAGGAGAGGTTATTTATTTGTATCCACTTGAGCCGAACATCCACGGAGGGACCAGCTATCTTGTAGGAAGAGAACGACATGATTCATATTGGGTTTCGAATTATTTGTGCGATGTAGAATTTTCCCAATAGTGGGTGCAATATAAAAGCACGTAAGCAAATAAGCTCTCTGTGGCATGACCTCCACTTAACGGGGTCTTAATGTCAATCTCAAGCAATCCCACAATTTAAGTGCTATCTAAATCTCTAGCAGTGCAACTGCAATACACCGAAGATGACCTGATTCTGCTATTAAGTTGTGTTTTGTTTTTTGATTTACAGATCGTCCTGATCGAAATAAGCCAGACCAGGCACCACGCAGCTCTAGGTAAGCATGTTGTAGGGCATGTGGATTGTTCACACCATTGGCCTGGTGTCTGTCTTTCAAAGAAAATCGTATTGCTTTAAATCAACAAGCATCATAGCACATTGGCCATCTTAAACCGGGGAAGGCAATTTCACGTTCAGCTTTTATTGTAATATTGGCTCAGTTGGTACAACTCATCTCTAAATTAGGAGGTTGTAGGGTCAAGCTCCATGTCAGGACTTTGAGCTCAAAATTTAGCCTGATGCTCTAGCGCAATGTGGGGGGAGTGTACCATTGTCGGAGGTGCTGTCCTTCAGATAAGACGTTAAACTGCAGGTGGATGTTCACTATTCCAAAAGAAAAACGAGTTTCTCCCAGTGTTCTGGCCATCGATCCCCCAATGAGCTAGTTTAACTTTGGATGTAACTTTCTCTCCCACATAATTTTTTCCCCCACTTCCTCTCCTCTCCTTTTTGCTGGACATTTCTACTGGTGCTAATCACCCCCTGAACCTCGCCCAAGGGGCTATTTTTATGTGTGAGCCCTAACTCAACTTACAGTTTAACCATGATGAGCATTACAACCAAGCCAATGCTGTCTGCAAAGCCTTCATAAGTACTTTCCCCTTGAGGCCATTTGTATAGTGATTTGGAAAGGGGGAACCCTGGCATTTCCTTCTCTCTAAACAAACTGGTCGCAAAGCGGTTCTTGAGATTAATTATTAGTGCTTCAACTTCCAGTCACTTTGTAATTGTACCTGGGGATGGATTGCTCATTTTCAAATTGGACAGTGGCTGTAATAAACAATAGTTATCCTGACACTTGATATAGTGCCTTATCGGATAGAAACATATCAAAGCTTTTCAGGCAGTTTTCTGTAAAATGCAATTGTAGGCAAATGCGGCAGCTAATTCATGTCTGGCAATGTTACAAAAACAGCCTTGAAATGAATAACCCTTTTTTTTATTTGGGGGTTTGTTAGCCAGGACACCAGCAGAAATTCCCTTCTCTATGCAATATACGGCCATGGGATCTTTAATGTCTGTCTCAACAGGCAAATCAGACTTCATTTTAGCATCTCATCTGAAGGACAGCACCTATGACAATGCAGTGCTCCTCAATACTGGGACATCACCTGGACCGGGAGCTCTAAATTCTGACATGAGACTTGAACGCACAAACTTCTGACTGAGGCGAGAGCCCCATTAACTAAGCAATTGGGGGAGTGCTGAGATTTGGCTTTGACTTTCATTTACAGTTAAATGAGCAACTCCACACTTAAAGTATTGCTTGATGCTTGTGAATTTTCTTCGAGCTTGTGTTTCTTTCCCATCTCCCTGGTTTATTTACTCTGGTTAAGTGCTATTTACCTCAAGACTCTCCCCTTCATGAAGTCCGCTTTACAAATGAAAATTATTGTTGTGATTCTGTTGAAGTCTGAATTCAAGGTTGCTATTTGGAAATACACACTTCATTCCTTGTGTTTGTGATGTATCCTTTATTGTCACTATTGGAACTTCTAACAAGAGATGGTGGTGGAGGAGAGGGAAGAACCTCCGTTTGCGACTTCAGAGACCAGCACCTAAAGTGCTGATCTAAGGCACTTTATTGGTGCACTTCAACACTTACTCAGCCTCCACAGATCAGGCTTCATCCATTTAATGCATCGTCAGTACATTCCAGTGACTCCCTAAGTGAAAGGCACTATTTAATATAAATTGATTCTATGCGCAATCTCTGAGGTGTAGCAGTGACAGATGATCACAATAATAATAATTAATCCTTGCACTTGATATAGCACCTGATCACATCATCTAGATGTCTCCAATCACTTCACACGATATACTGTAAAGTGAAGGGACTGTATTTTGAGCAAAATGTGGTAGCTGGTTGCGTATAGCAACATCCCACAAACTGATATCTGAGATGTTCACTGACATTTGGTTCCTGGAGTTTTCGGTTCCACTCACCCCAAGTGACCGATCTTCAAACTGAGACGTTTCAATTACTGGTAAATTTTTTTAACATGCTGAAAATCTCAAAAACACATGGCATAATTCTCTACGGATCAGGCTAAGGTTATTACCTTTTGAAGTGCAAAAGTCCAATAAATTATCAAGGATCCCAGGCCACTACAAATTTCACCATTGGTAGCAGATGTTTGAATCCCAGAAGGATTGATGCCTGGAACTTGTAGCTAAATAGCTAAAAAGCTCGAGGCTGAACATTAAAATGAGCAATCTGTGAACTGCTCCGACTTTTCAGGGAAACTAGGTAATTCTAATATGTGTTTTCTCTCCTTTACCACTTGCCTGGAAAGATACTTTTTTGGTAACAATTTTCCTCTTTTTCCCTACCGCCTCAAAGAATTACTCAATGGGACGGGCCAAGAGAAGGGTTTTGAGATGTCTTGATGGTGTGATAAGGCGCTATATCAAATGCAAGGATTTTTACTATTATTATCTTGACCCATTACCATCTCTACCCTCTTTGAGTTGGTGATGCCTGGAACATTTCACTTGCCTTTCACGTGTCCTAGACCAGCGATGTTGAACCCTAATCCGACTGAGGGACAGGATGACGCCTCATTGAGGGTGAAGCCTAGATTGCCCAACTCGCTTTATTTGAATTGATGTTCCTTGTTGCATCATTGTTTTCAATAGTACCATTGAGTTCATGGTGCAATGCACCTGCTCAGCCAGGTAGGTGAGAGGGCCTGTAGCAGAGGCTGCTTTGCATATGTTCACCCAGTGATCATTCAGCAAGAGATGTGGTTTTATGTCTAGAGTGTCTGAGAGGAAGGGAGCTTGTATGCGTCATCACCTGGTTGAAAGTTGTCACGACTCGCCTGCGGTCATGTTTAAATATCAACTGAAGGTGAATATTGAACCCGAGCTCGCTCTGTGGATGCGAGTCTGAGACTGGAGCGGCCAAGTCAACATCCACTTAAAATAGAAACTAAACCTTTGACAACTCACTGCACTGCTGAGCAACTTGTGACATCCTTCGGATGCGATGTTACACCGAGGTCCTGTCTGCCTGTTCAGGTGGAAGTTAAAGATCCCATGGCACTATTCGAAAAGAGAAGGGAGTTTCTCCTAGACCAGGGTTGTTGAACCCTAACGTGTGCCTCATGAACAACATTGTGAGCCACAGCAATCGAAAAATAAAACGAGTCACAGAAATTCCTCCAAAACATTTATTTATAAGCATGTCATACGTATGTTTTTGTTTTTGGCAGCAAAGGCAACACCAAGAATACCACATCGATAGCAGCAAAACCCATACATATGCAAATATTAGCATTACCAACACAAAACAACACATGAGTGTGAGCTGAGTATTTCTCAAATAATTTCTAATAATTGGATGGTGTGGTTTTGAAAATGATTGCGAAGCCGCACAGTGCAGTTCTGCTACCAAACGTTCATTTGACGAGAGATTTCTATTTTCCTTTGAATGCAATCGCAGAAAAGGTTGATTCACAGAGAGATGTCAATCTGAACACTGAAAAGAATTGCACTCGCCTCTAAACAAATTGTCAGTGATAATCATCTAAGTCACATGTTTTCTGTTGAAAGCTCAGGTGGCTATGAGCCAGACCAAGACCCCTCATGAGACTCTCGTGGCTCTATAGTTCTTCAACGCTGTCCCGGCCAACAATTCTCCAAATAAAATAGGTCATTCGCTTCAGGGCTGTTTGTAGGATATGGCTGCATGCAAATTGGCTAAAGTGAGAATTGTGCAACTCGTACTTTATGCACCACAACAATTTCAGATGGATCTATAAAGAAACTGCTGATGGGATCCTTTAAACGAGAAAACAAAAGTTATTTCAAGGCACACAAAGCAACAGAACTTTGTAGCTTCACAAAAGGCTGAGCTAAAACTCAAATATTTCCTTGTTGGAAGAAGGGTTGTGTACATATTTCCATCTGTCTGGAGCTAATTATTTTCCCAAATCTCCTCCAGCCTGTAAATCATGCTTTTCATATCGAATCAGTCACTGGGCCAGATGCAACTCAGAAGTACTGTAAGAGGAGCACTGCTGTCTGGGTTTAGTGGAGTGAAAGACCCCTGCTTGTGAACATGCCCCATTGCTGCTCCACTGTTAATCTGTTTATTCTCCAAAGGTTAATTCTGCATCTGTTTTGAGTCTAGTTATTTAACTAAGGAGTGGAGGGGGCATTTGTAACTATCCAAATGCATGTTTTTCTACATTCCATTTTCTTTCCCTGGGAGTGGTTAATTGCATTTGTAAGAAATTTGGTTGTATGTATCAAAAGTCTGTTCTCTGCACGCAAATATTGTTCTTTGTAAGGTGCTCCAAGGTTAATGAATGCAAACCCTCTTGACTAAAAGAGCCATACAAATCTTTAAAGCACTTTTCTATTGTTTCGAAACATTCCACACTTCAAAATGGATTGAGACTTGGAAGGAGAAAATAAACCTTCAAATACTTGGGCATTCCTCAGTTTTAATGGTGGCCAAATTTCATCTCCCCTTTTATCAAATAACTTAAACTTTTACTTGTTTTAGGTTAAGTACTCAAGTGTAGGACCATTTGAATAACATTGTGTCATTGAAATAATCTTACCCCCTTAGGCAAGCCCCTTCCAATGGATGACACAAAAGATTGTAGGTTTAAGCCCTCTTTGGGACTTTGAGACCAGGCTGACAGTCCAGTGTGGTGTTGGGGGAATACTGGATTATTGGAGGTGCCATCCTTTGGATGATACATTAAACTGAGGACCTGACTGCCTCTCAAGATCCCAAGGCACTATAAGGAAAATTTCTCCCAAGGTTCTGGCCAACAATCCCCCAGATAAGATGGGTCATTCGCTTCATGGCAGTTTGGTGGGACATTGCTTTTCACAAATTGGCTGCCATATTGGCCTTCAAAACATAGTCACTAAACTCTACATTAATCCCTGGGAAGCACTTTGAGACATTGATGGCGACTGATGGCATTGATAAGGCATTACATAAAATGCAAGGATTATTTTTGAATGGTTTGGCGCTTGAGCAGAAAATGGAGGAATTTCTCCAGGTCTACGTTGGGGAGTAGCTGCAGGTTGTATTTTTATTTTGTTAGCTGTATTGTGGTCAGACAATAATAATAAATAATAATAATCCTTACATTTGATATAGCGCTTTTTACGTCTTCTAGATGTCTTAAAGCGCTTCACGGAATGTACTGTAAAGGGAATTGACTGTATATTTGTGGGCGAAACGCGGCAGCCACTTGCACACAGCAGTGTCCCACAAACAGTCGTGGATTGAGTTACCAAATTATTATTGTTTTTTTCTTGAGGGAATTATTATCAGACGCATGAAGTAAGGAAACTTGTCCAAGGTTTCGCCCTGCCGGGAACCCAGGTCTCTCGCTTGCGAGGCGGGTGTATTAACCACTGAGCTACAGAACAAGATGTGCCACCTTCAATATTCCACCTGACTAGAAAGACTGGTTTTTAAGTCCCAAGGTTGCTGTGACGTGCAAGGTTCAGTGGGCTGTGCGAATGCTGTGGTGGGGTGAGGCCTGCCAGCATTTACTATAACGTCACCTGAAAGAATTTGTACTAATGGAGATTGATGATGGAGAGGACGTTTTCCATTTGCAAGCTTCTAGTCATTATCCAGTACCTTCATCTCCCCACACACCACACACATATGGATATCTAGTGGGGGGACAAGATTGGATTCAGCCGTAATGATTACTGTCCAGAGATGCGCTGGAAGGACGGTGGTGCTTGTAGAACTGCAGTTGGTGCGTTCTGAAGTGAATGGGAGAAAATTGGAGCTGGTAAGGTCAGGCTGAAAGTTCTATCTTGGTTGGCAAGAATTTCCTCCGATACCAGCCTATATTTGAATGGAATGTACAGTGTATGGAGCTGTACTCCCCACCCAAATCCCCACCACTCCCTTCTCCATATTGTGAATCTGTACCAGAATATATTCAGTTTTGTCAAGAGGACTGGACAAGGAAGAATTCTAAAACAAGAAATCAAAAAGTTGTATTGTAATATATGCAGCAAAAACAAATAATACTGTGAATTATAGGCTATCTGGTCTGATTGACAGTTGTGGAAAACACCACAAGAGTGGTTTAATTAGTGTAAAATACACTGAAGCTTACGTAGCATTCGCAGCTACGCCTTTCCTATTTTCCCTAAATGGTTTTAGTCAGTAATTTTGTGATGAACGGGCAACTATCAATGTCCTGCAAAGCCAGCCTTGTGTGCGAAAGACGTGGACAACTGTTGCTGGAACAATAGGACAGGATGTCTGGTCGTACAGAGCCTGAGAGCCTTCATGTGACCTTTTGCAACATACTGTTTTGATTTTCATTTTCCGTGACTGCAATTTTTTCATTTTTTTGAAACTCCTCTTTCAGTTAGTGGCCAATCTCTTCTGAATTTGCTGTGGAACTTGCCTGGAAAGAGCATTTTTTCTTTCGACAAGCAAGGACAAACTCCTTGCTTGTTGGCCTCCCTGACTCCTTCCATAGGCTGCAGATCATCCAGAACTCTGCAGCCCATGTCCTCTCCTGCACTAGGCTCCGTGACCCTATCACCCCCATCCTCACCCGGCCCCACTGGCTTCCCATCACACAGAGGATACAGTTCAAGATTCTGGTCCTCACCTTCAAAGCCCTCCATGGCCTTACTCCCCATCTACCTCTGCGACCTCCTAACCCCCAATCATTCTGCCCGCTCTCTCTGCTCAGCGGGCTCCAGCCTGCTTCACGTCCGCCACCTTGCCGACCCACCATTGGCAGTTGGGCCTTCTGCCACTTTACACCCACCCTCTGGAACTCCATCCCGCAGCCCCTCTGCTTCACCCCTCCCTTGCTTCTTTCAAGACCCTCCTCTTCAACTGTGCTTTTGATCATCCACCTCCCCCCTGCTTTCCACCCTCCCCAATCCAGACCCCCAGCTCAGGTCCAAAAAACTGACTATCCAGCGCCTTGGGACGTAAAGCTCTGAGATGCTACCCTGCGTGGGAGGACGCTATATAAGTGCAAGTTGTTGTTGTTCTCCCGGTGTGAAAGGTGCTAAACAAATGTAATTTTGTTGTAATAATAATTTGGTCACTTAATCCACAACTGTTTGTGGGACGGTGGTGCAGTGCTGCCACAATTTTGAGGCGATGAATTTAAGGAGTATTACATATCGTGTATTGGCACAACACTGTGAGCTTTTCCTGTAGCGTGTTCGACACTCTTAATATGGTTAAATAAATTAGCATGCTGAAGGACAGCACTGTGACTGTGCTTCATAGTAGAAGGAAGCATAGTAAAGAACTCCACCTTTATTTCTCAAGTTGTGCGTGCAGGAATAATGTCTGGCACCTGATCTGGGGATTCAGATGGCAGCATTAACCATCAAGAGTACTTTTATGCGCTTCCAAACATCAGATGTTTTTTGTTTTATTTAATGCATCAAATTGTACTTCCAATATCTCCTGTGCTTTGTGTGTGCACATTCTAGGCTTCTTGCTGTTCCTGGCATTGCTCCAGTCGCTCAGTGCAGGGCTGAATGATGTTCACAGCAGGATGATGGCATCACCTCAGGGTAGAAAGGAAATAAACATGTGGCAGATGACGGGGATATTCCACACTGATGTATAGTGGCTGTTGCCTTCAGTGCAGGGCTGAATCCATTCCAGCCTGGCAGAGCAGCGGTGCCTCGCCTTGTCCTCAGTGACTTGCAGCCACTCCCCGATCTTTGCAGCTCCTTTGTTTGTGTGTTTCAGCCCTGTCACTCTGCTCCAGACTTCAGAAACTGTGTGCCAGGAGCTGTGAGTACATTAGTGGAAATCTGGGCCAATAAAGAGCAATCGTAATGGAACTTGTACTTTAGCCGAGAGGAAGGGTGGGGGAGGGGGGTGCAGGGAAAGGATTGCTGCCGTCTCCTGCCTCAATTGCCTCTCGAGAACGCATTGTGCTCTCTCTTCCTGCAGCTCTCGGACTTCTGACTTGGAAAAGTCTTCGAACTTTGAGGGATTAGTCCAAAGCGGATATTCTTCCTGTATTCCAGAGTACGCTTTATTTTTGGTGGGATAGTCTTTGAACGCTCAACTTCATTCCAATTTAATCATTGCTGTATAAGATTGATGTTAACGCTTTCAAGGCTGAAGCAGCAGGATTTCTAAGTGGGACAAGTTAAACCAGAGTAAAATGTTTTGATTTATCTCTTGGTCATTTGCAATGTAACAGTGTAACTGTTCCTGTCTAATATCAACACTCAGCGTGGGTGACTTTCAGAGTGAGTTGGGGGAAGGCACGTGAGCTCTTGCAGTGGGTTATTACCAACTTCAATTTATTGGGCAACTAATTAATATAATAATTAATTAATTATTCTTGCCTTTTAGATAGTGCCTTTTACATCAGGATGCACTGTAAAATGCAATTACTGTGTATTTTGTGGGTGAATGTGACAGCCAATGTGCACACCGCAATGTCCCACGAACAGCCATGAAGTGAATGACCAATTTTATATAGGGGATTGTTGGCTAGGACACTACCCTTTTCTCCTTTTCCAATCTGTGCCATGGGATCTTTAATGTCCATGGAACCTCAGTTTAACATCTGCTTCACTCCAATCGGAGTGTCAGGATAGACTCTGAGTACCAAATCCAACCTTTTGGTTGCAAGACAAGAATGCTACCAACTGAGCCAGGTTGAGATACAAGAGTTATGATACTTGGTTTCTAGCTAAAGGGGAGGAGATGATCCAGGGTTCCTGCTCCTCACTCCAGAAATCTGTGCTGTGAAATGTGTGGATAGACCTTGCGCTCGGTTATGATACATATTCTAACGGTTGAACAACCTGCTGAGACGCGCTGTGGAACACTTCCCTAGCATAAGTCCTTCTCCTATCACCCCACCCTTTGGGAAAAAAAAGTTATAGTCTGTATTGTATTATAAAAGGTAACGTTTTTATTTCTTTTTCTTACAGTCAAGGACCACTGTCTTCCATAAGAGCAGCTATCAAGAGATGTAAGTCAGCCGCATTTTTAAAAAATAAAACATAATAATAAGCCACAATAGGAATGAAGTGCACCTGGAGATTGCTGTTAGGCTCTGCTTGTTGCTGGAAGCCCAGTAAGCCTGGATAGTGAGACAGGTACAGAACCTTTTCATTGGCCTAGTCGAAGCCACAAAGCCCTGGTTTAGTGAGGGCTTGTTAACTTGCAATTGAACTTTTGTTGATGTGCGGCCAAGTTCAAGGTGCTAACACAGCCTGTACAACGGACCTTTGCTGTTAATATTCCATGTGAACATTCTGCATTGATACCGAATATTGAGCTGGAGCTCAGCGCACCTGACATAGAGGAAGTCAGGCTTTGCCAAGCAAAGAAGTGTGGGAATGATGAGGCTATTGTTTGAGCACTAAACTCCTTCAGCTTTATAAAATGTTTCATTCTTTACATGTGTTTTTTTAAATTGCTGAGGATAAATGTAAAGTTGAATTTGAGAAATCTTTTTAAATATTACATTAGTGTGGTAATAAAGGTGGAGAATGCAATTTTCTTAACTTCTGTTTTTTAATGTCTCTATCAAGTGCTGTTGGGTTTACGGTGGGTTAGATGAAAAAAGGCTCTTTACTCGGATCATAAATGTCCCTATCCCTAACCGTGATAGCAGACTTCCAACTGCACCAGTGTGAGATTCCACTCCCACACCTGCCATCCTTCTGTGAAAGAACTGGCAATTTATGGCTCCTTTTGCACTTGTTGGGGGCTGGACATGCCCACATGACTTGCAAGGTTTACAATAAGGGGAGGAGGCTCATGTGGAGCATAAACACCGGCATAGATCAGTTGGGCTGAATGGCCTGTTTCTGTGCTGTATATTCTAATGTATTCCAATGTAATGCAATCCAAAATTACATTTGTGTAAAGCACCTTTCACGTCGGAATGATCTCCCAAGGCGCTGGACAGTCAGGGATTTGGACCCGAGCAGGGGATTTGGGATCAGGGAAAGCGGAGGACAGGGAGGGTAGGAGGGTGGCCTAAGAGGAGGGTTTTGAGACGTATTTTGAAGGAGGCGAGGGAGCGAGGTTAAGGGAATTTGGGATGGAGTTCCACAGGGTGGGGGCAGAGAGGCTGAAGGCCAATCGTTGATGGTGGGGCGGGCCGGGGTGGGATGTGGAGCAGGCCAGAACCTGCTGAGCGGAGGGAGCGGACAGATTGATATGGGGTTAGCAGGTCACAGAGGTAGGAAGGAGCCAGATTGTTGAGGGCCTTGAAGGCGAGCACAAGGAATTTTAACTCTATCCTCTGGGGGATGGGGAGCCAGTGAACCAGGGCGGGAGTGAGAGGGTCACGGATCCTTCACAGGACCCAAGTGGGAAAAATTGCATCCCCAATGACTGTCCGTTCCCTCTCAAGTTCTGCCAACAAGTCTGGCTGGCTGGGCTGTCATCAGCAGTGCCCTGGGATACCGCAGAACTACCTGACTCAGGAACCAGACTACCGAGACCGCCACAAAAGGCTGGCTCATTTCCAACATTTCATTGCCAAGCATGTCACCCTGGAGCCAGCTCAGCTACAAGGAGACCCCCGCATACTCCCCTCCCCCAAATGACTTCAAACTAGTGCATTGTACCTTATGATTTATTCAAGACAGATATTTCAATACTATAGGTGCTACATGAAAAAAAACATCTTCACATCGATGTTGTGGTAATCATGATATCTGTTTGCTTTAGTTCAATAAATGCTGCTAATTCATCCTTTCATTAACTGGCCTCTACTACAGCAGCAAGTTATTGCTTCAATCTTGCTCAGATTCTTTTTTTCCCCCCACCCCCTTCCTCTTTTTCTTGTTCAGCATCAAGTCGTGCAGCAGCCCAGATTGAACTGCAGAGAGAAAGGAGGTAAGAAACTTTGCTTGTTGGTCTCAGGATAAGTTTCCTCTCTGGGTCATGCGCATCCCGCAGTGAGAGAGGTGACATTGATCTGCACCAACACCCAGCAGCTGGCTCAGGACGTACTTGAGGAGAAACTGGAGTGGATGACTGAGGATGACTTTTCCTCTATTTTTCTTTCCGTGTGGAAAATGCCAGGAAACCACTCTGAGGTTCCCTGCGAATATTACGGAATCAGAGTTACTGCTGTGCTGGCAGTAAAATTTGGGGAAGAGAATAGAAGAATTTCTTTACCCAGATTTGTTAGAGCTTCAAATTGATTACTACATAAGTGGTTCTTCAGGCCAGGTCAATGGTGACGTTCAACTGGATAAGCACCTGAGCAGTTTAAAATCATTTAGAGATACGGGGAGAGAGCTAGAAATTGGGATTAGTTGGTTTAGCAACAAAAAAAAATAGATCCCAGTCAAAAGATAATAAAGGTTGAAATGAAGAAATCACATTGTTCCATTGGATTTCAACTTGCAGAAATACCCATCCTATGTCCTTCCATTGAAGCATCAGGTTTTTGTAAAGTGTCCAGTGTCATAGAACCATAGAAATTTACAGCACAGAGGAAGGCCATTCAGCCCTGTGTTGGATCTCCTGAGCTGTCCTGGTCTCAGTCACACTTCCTAGTGACCCATTGCAACCAGTGGCCTCGGTGATGAGCTGAGTGGCCTCCTTCTATGCAGAGAATTTCTGTTTCCATGGTATTGTCTTCTGGAGCTTCATTGCATTGACCCAGTGCAAGATGGAAAGTTACACACCACTCCTCTACCCGTCGCGTTGGCTCAGCTGGCTCCAGCCTCCTTCATGTCCCTCTGGGGATTGTAACCTGTCAATAATTGAGAAGCTAATGGTGTTATGAAGCTCCACAAACATTACCCTGATGTGTGTGATTTTTCCAATTTTTATTATTCTGTGGCTTGTGGATTCTTGCTCTATGTGCAATGAGCATGTTGGATATCGCCACAAAACATTTGTCACTCTGCCTATCACTTCAGAATTCTATTACTCGATTATTTTTTTTTCTGATGGGGGGGAGAGAAAGAAATAGCTCTGTGCAATATTGGGAAGTGAATGCTTACAGAGTTTTTTTTTTCCTGGACTTTTTTTGGACTTTTTACAGGATGTTAGAGGATGTTATAAGTAACTTTTTGATCTTCCCCCTAGACGCCCGGAGATCACTATCTTATCTGCAGAACCCATAGGTCCTAGTCCTTGGTATCCCGGAGTCCCAGGTGACTGCATACCGTCTCCTAGGCAGGGCCATTGCAGGCAGAGCGCTGCCCATTCTCGGTCACTGTGGCGAATCGACGAGCCTGTTGCTGCAGAAGTAAGACATTCCCTCTCGTTAGACGACGTTCTTTGTTTTGTTAGCATTTCCTTTCTTTTTAAAAGTATTTTGCTGATCCTTTTTTTGCAAAAATGTCTATTATTATTATTGCCTACAGCCTCCCCCATCGTACGAGCAGGTGATCCGCGAAATCAACCAGCAGCAAGTTATCGTGACGACTGCTAATGCTGCTCCAAGACGCACGACCACCAGTGCCTCAACCCAGACTGACTTTGTGCAGGAGGTTGAGACTCCGGAGACCAGCATCGGCGAAGCCAACCTTGTTAACATAAGCAACACGACTCCGAGCACGGGTAAAGGAACCACCCAGGTTCATAGCAAGCAGTAGAAGTTACTGGCAGGTGGCTGAATGTAGCCTCTGTAAAGTGCGGTGGGCTCGCAGTAAAAAAAAATTGTCTATACCTGGCAAATTCGTCGTCGACTCGAGAAACTAGTCAAGCGAACCAGTCTTGGCCAGCAGCGTGGAGTAGCAAGGTTGCCAGGACCCTGTGTCCCTTCACAAGTGATACAGTGACCTGTAGAAGCCTGCTCTCACTCTTTGTTTAGTCATCCAGCAACAAGGGNTTTTTTCAGCAGCTGCCATAACCTCTTAGGACAGCTGTTGATCTCAGGAATGTAGGCAATGTAGGAACGCCTGGAACCTGCACACCAGTACAGACTATAATCCAAGCACATCCCTTCTTTTATGTTTCAGGAAAAGTAGCAAGTTCTTCTACGTATCACCATCAAAATAGCCGATCTGCCACTGAGCTCCTGCACAATCACAATGCCAAGTCCTTTTGTACCTTGGCGTCAGTCAGTGATTTGGAAAGAGGTGGGCGATCATGAACCAAAGTGTACAGAATATAAAATAGGGGAGTGTCAGAATATCAAATATTGGAGGGTTAAAGTCTTTATCTAACGTCAGGTTCAGGTGATGCTCGAACTTTTCTCCTATATTATCTCCTTGGAAACCCTCAATTGGATTACTCCATCGCTATCGCTTCCAGACACAGATTTTTTTTTAAAAAAATGTTTAGTTGAGGTTCATTTGCTTAGTTTTATTAAGTGTATAGAAAACTTAATTTTATTACAAACCTGTTTTTTCATCTTTTCTTTTCTCCAGTTCCAGTTCCGAGACCACTGAAGCCCCCCAGGCCGCTGTTTCTCACCCCCATACCTTCTGTGGAAATTGAAGAATCTTTAATCTCAATAGAAAGTAGTTCCAGCACGGAAGAAAGTAGTTCCAGGCGAGAAGGAAGTAGTTCCTGTAAAGAACAAAGTGTCCAAACCAACACTGATGTTGTGGAGCGTCCCATACCAAAGCCCAGGTCCTTAGTGAACTTGAAGGTACTTTGGAAAGAAGCTCCAAGTGAGACGTCTGACGGAGAAGATAAAGAAAGTCTACCTGACTCGGACAGCATACCTTTGTTCGAATTGTGCCAAGGTCCAGCTACAGAAGACAATTTTGATAACCAAGACACAATGGGAGACGGTGGTGGGCACAACATTCATTCGAGGATCAAGGCCTTTGAAACACAGACAGATTCTGAAAATACACCTGGTTGTGCTCCAAGGCCTTTAAAAAGACCAGAAGCTGCCCCTCGATCCTTTGGGCTTAAACCTGCAGTAACACACGCAAAGCCCACTTTAGCCCTGAAACCTTCTGTGGTCACAGAAATTTGGGAGATTCTGCTACAGGGACTGAAAGCAAACCTATAGCAGTGGGGAGGCAGGGGCCAGTACTGCTGCCGAAACCACAGTCTGCAAGCACGGCAGCTGTCTCAGGCCAGAACCACCCAAGAAATCTAAAGTTAGTCTCTTTGCCGACGTTAAGGCAAGTGGCGGTGTGACGAATGATTCTTTTCACCTCAGTAATGAAGCAGATCGAACTCCAAAGGACAGACCTGAGGATCGGAAGCTTCACGTTCCTGTTCCAGCACCGAGGCCTACAGTAGCAAAGAGGATCACATCTTTTCAAAAACATCCCGCTATTGCACCTAAGCCCTTTGCTCTAGCTCCTAGACCTTCAGTTGTGCCTGTGGCAAAGACCTTTAAGGTGCAGGATGAAGGTTCTTCAACTAATCAGCAGGCGCCTTCCCTACAAGATGTCTCGAGTAGTGGGCAAGACCTGATCAGTTTTGATGATGATTTACCTGTAGCTCCAACAGGGGATAACGTGACCTCATTAGTGACAGTAGGTAATGTCAGTGAATTCTTGTTGATTATCTAATTCCTGCTCTGTGTGTGTGTGTGTGTGTGTGTGTACACAAGCACTGATGGGAGTCCCCACTGCCACATGTGCATATATGTATTGATTGACACACACCCATGTCCTGTGTGTGTGTGTTAGCCCTTTGTTTGGCCTTCTACATACCCCCTTAACTCCACTGCTCCTCTCAAGGGCTGCCATGGCTTCAGCTACTATGCCCTGCAACTCTGGAACTTGCTACTTTAATCCATCTACCTTGCCCCCTCTTTACCACTCTTCGAATCACACCCGAAGAATTTCCTTCAGTCATCTACCCTTTCACCCCACGTCAGGTCCAACGCTGCCACTGTTCATCACTCCGAAATGTTATCCTGGATGAAAGGCAATATATAAATGCAAGTTGTTGGCCGTGATGCTGCAACGATATGGTGTAGAAGCTATATCAAATACTTGGCCTGTTCCCTGACCTCAGCCTCTGTGACATGATGAGTGTTGAGGAGTGTTGCTTGGTTAATCCATGGATGATTACTAACATCGTGACATTTTGGGTTTGCCTATAAACATTGTCCATATTCTGCTTTGCATCTTGAACAGATCCTTTTCAGACATTGGTCAGAGGTGCAACTCTAAGGATAGACACGACACCAGGTCAACCCCCTCCAGTGCGTAAACCCACAGTAATTCGAATACCCAACAAATCAGGTAAATATAACTTAATTGTTTTTGGTTGTATATTCTCAAGTTTTAGCTTTTTTAATAAAGAAAATCTTCCCCTATCTTTAAATTTTTCTCATCCTCCTGGGTAGCTCACACTTGGAACCACATAGTTCAGGGTTTTAATCTCCAGCTAAGTGAGACTCAACCCAGCTCAATTGTTCAAGTTGAATAACATTTCTTTAAAATATTGATGGCATTGAATTTTGACTTTACTGCACTTCAAAGTACTCATTATGTGAAGCACTTTGAGATGTTTATATGTAAGTATTATTATTACCACCAGTGCTTTGACCTGTTAAGCTGCATGGTTGTCTTCATTCCATTCTAAATCTGCTCCTGACGCAAGACAAATCCCTGTCCAAGAGTACAGACCTGCTTCTAGCGATCAATCAGTTCATCTCATGAGCTGGTCATGAGATAGCAGCCAGAGTGTCTCTCCTTGAGTATTTTATTCCTTCTTTGTTGGAAGAGGCACTCGGCCTCAGATTGGTGTGTTCCTTTGGCACAGTAAAGGTTCTGAACTTGCTGTGTGGGCAATTCCGGGTACAAATAGTAGCGAATCTTAATCTTGTCTGTGGGTTTATGTCCTCCCGACATGAAAGGCGCTATAGAAATGTAGTTGTCATCGTCGTTGTTATCCTCTATTGTCTTAGATCGGGATGAATCTTACAGAATGCACTAAACCTAATTACTGTAGTCAACATGACTGAGTAATGCAAATTTATGAGGATTACACCGTGAAGCAATTCTGGACTAATGTAGGATAGCATTCAGATTTGCTATAAATTTGATTTTAAAACTATTGAAAAGAATCTCGAATGCTTTCCTACAAGATTGAAACTATTGAAAAATAGTGTGATCTATGTAATGTTGTGGGGGACATCTTTGTTCTTTTCTGCAGTGTCCTCAGAAGACACGTTAAGTCCACCTCCCCCTCTACCTCTGGTGACTCCCGTTGGTAATTTATCTGCCCGGAAGCCCAGTGTTCTGAATAAGACTGCAGTTACGGTAAGAACTTAACCTCCTAAATCTTCAATATCCTTTCCAAGTCTGACAGCGTTGGTGTTTTATTTTCCTCTAAAGTCACTGATTTACTAGCCTCACCCAAACGGACATTCATGTGTGAGCCCAGACACTCGGGCGTGGGGAGAGGAGAATAAAAGTACAAGCTCTGGTTCAGAAAAGAACAAGACTGATCCCCATGGCATAGGGGATGAGCAAGATTAGAGCAGATAAAGTTGTGGGGTCTAAAAAGAAGGCTGCTGTTGTGAATGGAGGGGGAATAGGGGATCGTATTGTTATATGTATGTTTATAATATATTGTGCAGATAGGGCAGATGCAAAAACATTACTTCAAATCAAACCAGGAAAGTCAAGCCAGCGAATGCAGATTTAAAACGGTGAAATATATCTTTAGGCAGCACTGTTTTTCATTGTCAAACCTTTTTGGAACAATAACTCTGATTTGGAAGATATCGCAAGAGCTATTTAGATGAAGAAAGCTCTTCGACCCATTTGTTCTCATCCTTCCAGAATACCCACCTATTGTCCTACCATCACAGCATTTTTTTTAATGAGTCCACTCTCCTAACCTCATCCACACTTCCTGATCACCCAGGGGTGGGCAATTATTTTGGTTGGCGGGCTTCGCGGGCCACACACTTAACATAGGTGCAAATGCTTAATAATAGCTCAAAATCAAGTCTTACACTTGTATATGCATAAAATAAAGTCTTATATAATTGACATTCATTAAAGTTAGGTTAAATAAAACCAACTCATTGAGCAGATGTTTATTTGATATTTATTCACATATTGATGAGAATGTGAGAAGCTCACTCAATGGGAAGAATGAAAGCCCTGATTTGCGTTAACCAGACAATTGAAGTCATTGTTGCAATGCAGAGTACTGCTGCAAGGTGGTCATCGGTCATCACAGATCTATGTTTTGATTTATTGAATTTCATCACAGAAAATGTCTCCTCGCATATGCTTGTTGATCCAAACAGCACAAGCATCCTCCGTGCATGAGCCTTTATTTTTGGAAAGGTATATTCACTAAGAGAGGTGTAAAAACTGGGACGCGGCACTGATTTGAATTGTTCCGCAAGCAATGGATCACATTGCAGAACAATAAGCTCGAGTTGGAGGTTAAATGGGACTTTTTCAACATCAAATGAGAAAGGTGAAGAGACCAAAGACAGGTTAATTTCGATCAAATTGAAATCCTGAAATCAGCAAGAAAATTCAGCATGTAAGTCAAGTAGTGACAAAGTATACTTTTTAAGGTTTTGATCGCAAACAGTAATCTGCTGCAAAGTTGGAAAGTGGGCGAACAGCCTGCTTCCTATCTGACGTGATAAAAGAAATTATTTCGTCATAAATGACACTGCAATACAAATCATGCACAAAGGCCCCCTTCCGTTGCAGTTTTGAATTCAGTTCATTCATGTGGCCCATGATATCAATTGCAAATGCGAAATCAGAGAGCCAATTCGCATCATTCAGCTGTGGGAAATCCAAATCTTTTTGTTTCATGTCCAAAAATAAATCAATCTCTGTTCTCAGTTCCCCCCTGTTTTCAAGCTCTTTCCTAAACTAAGCCATCTTACATTTGTGTGATACAGAACATCCGTGTGCTGGATTCCAATTCCTCAAGCAGAGTTAAAAATTGCCTGTGGTTTAATCCTCTTGCTCGAATGTAGTTGACCACTTTCGTAACTGTGTCCACGACATTGCTTAGTTTTAGAACACTCTTACAGAGGACCTCTTGGTGGATAATGCAATGTAGAAAACAATATTCTGTTCTGGATTTGTTTCTTTGAGTTGATCTTGAATTCTTTTCAGTAACCCAACATTTTCGCCTGTCAGATTTGGGCACATTCACCAATTTTTTCCACTCCACTCCTAATTTTAAGATACACTTATTTACTGCCTCCAAAAAGTCTTCTCCAGTTGTCGTATCTTTCATTGACTGCATTGATGCCAATTCTTCTGTGAGCTCAAAATGTTTGGTGATGCCTTGAATAAAACTGGGCTATGTCTTTGACATCACAACTCTCATCGAGTGCCAGTGGAAAAACATGCAAAATTGCTTACTTTATTTTTAACTGCAGATTCTTTATTACTTTATTTTTAACTGCAGATACAGAGATATCCTCGACACATCTCACAATAGTTCGCTTTGATAAGCTAATGTTCTTGAACTGGTTTTTCTTGTCTGGGCGTAAAATCGAGGCAGAGTCAACCATATATTCCTTTATAAATTCTCCTTCAGAGAATGGTTTGCTGTTCTTGGCGATTTTGTGTGCCATCACGTAACTCACTCTTGTAAACTTATTCAGGGACACAAATTGTTTTGTGAAAATGGTTTGCTCTTTTTGCATTCGAACAACCATCTCATCAGCTTTCTTTCCTTTTTCTTCGGCAGAATCGTTCTTATATTCGCAAGCATGTTTGCTCTCAAAATGGCGATTCAAGTTGTAGCTTTTGAGCACTGCCACACTTTCTTTGCAAATTAAGCACACAGTTTTTCTGCCCACACTGTTCTTTTTAAAAAAATTTAGAAGTCCATTCTTTGTTGAATATTCGGCCTTCGGCGTCCACTTTCCGCTTCTTTGATAAACTCATTTCGAATTAACGTCCTCTTCAATGAAAAGTATTGCCGCGGTTGCCACCCGCGCGTGTTTGAAAATTTGCCGATCCGTACATTTCTGACATCAGCCTGATTCAACACTTAAGGGAGCGTGCGCACAACTAAGCAGTGTGATTGGCTGATGTTCCCGGTCTGAATCAAATGCGAAATTTGTGAGACTTTCTGGGACTGAACGAACTATAATTTTTTCTATTGCTAGACACAATGACGTGCCGGATAGAATCATTTGGTGGGCCGGATATGGCCTGCGGGCCGTATTTTGCCCGCCCCTGTGATAATCTGTTCCAGTTGTTAATTACCCTCTGGGTACAGAAATCTTCCTGGTATCTGTTCTGATATTGCCCTTTGCAACTCTTAAGTTTACTGTCTCAATCCCATTCAAAATCTTAGAAGGTCCCCTCTGATATGATTCCTTTCAAGACTGGAGAGCTTGTCTAATCATTTTTCATAGTTCAATCCTCTGACACTAGGGATCAGCCTATGAAACCTTCAGCTTCTGCGAAATAAAAAGTTCCTATCTACCTAGTCTTAGCCTATTAGACCATTTTGTCTGAAAATTCAAGATTCCTCAATCTTGGAAAATTCCCAAACTGTCTCGATTTGGAAATTGATTTGCCACAGTTCTTCCAAACTGAGACTGAATTGAAGAACTCTCCGCTTTACCTGTGCCATCCCAAATCCTTACACAATATGTGATGCTGTGGACACATTAGATGATCACTATAAGTGGTTTATTCAATAACAGAGTAAATTGTAGCCAGTGTCACAGTGATGGTAATTTAGACCCCAATAATTCTCTTTATTCTCTTGATGATTCTCTGCATTCTCTTTATACATAAAGTATCTACAAAAGTAACCATGGGAGTGAATATCAATTGACGTGATATCACTGTAAGCGGGCTTTTTCAATCACAGCTCCAGGCTGGGCTGAGCCAGTTAATTTCTTCACACACAAGCTGGCAGTGTGTGACATTTTCTGCCCCAGAAAGCTGTGGAAGTATTGGGGATTATTAAGTGACGAAATAATAATAATCAATTCGCTATACAGTATATTCTGTGCGGCGCTTTGAGAAGTCTCGACGACTTGATTATTATTATTTATGTTTAAATGAGAGACACAAATACATGGGCAGTAACGATATTGAAGGAGCAGGTAACTAAGATTAAAAGATCTGACAAGATCAAATAAACTGGTGGAAAAGGCTGGAGGATTAAATAGTCTCCTCCTGTTTTCCTATGATCTCAGTACAGGCCATGTTTTAAATTGAATAATCTGGATGTAGGAGCAACAAATAGCTATATTGCACAGTCCAACTTACCAACCCCAAAATGTATCCAGCAGGATACTCTATATGGAAGCGATTATACATTCTCAAGCTTCAATAAAAGCTTTTTTTTAGTGCAGTCACCTGGTTGTTTAGTGGGAGTTTTGAACATGATGATTTAAACGTTTGCAGGCATGGGATACTGAAACAATTGTTTGAGATTGCGAAATGCAGGTGCACAGTTTTTTGGGGGATGGAGGAAGATTGGGAGAGATGTTGGAGGAGAATCTACTTCATTTACTGGGGGTTAAAAAGCAACCAATGACATCAGTGTGCATTCAAGCTTACAATAGGAATGTCCCGTGCCTCTGACCTTACATACCCTCTAGGTTCTGGCTGTGCAGTTTGTGTAGATCTGATCTGTGCAATCCTGGTCCTTTATTATTGATGATGATAATAATGCTTGCATTTGATATAGCGTCTTATCCCATCGTTGATACGTCCCAAAGCGCCTCACAGAATATACTGTAAATTGAATTGACTGTATATTTTGTGGGCGAAACGCAGCCCTGGCTATTTTCCATGTCACTGGTGCTTGCTAAAGTTCGGATTCAGTTTGGTGGAGGTATTTGAATTAAGAGGATAATTTGCTGCACAAAAGGCCAATTGTGCAAAAACTGGAAGGATCAAGAGAATAGGAAAGCTCAGAGTGGCGGCTGTTGCAACGTGAAGGAGCAAACAAATGGAGGAACACAGTGTGTCTATCTGTAGAAGAAACAGTGCTATAATGTGGATGGGTAAAGATGAGTAGTACAGTCTTGAGTGCTATGGCTTTATCCTTCACAATTTGTCCTAATTTCTTGCCATTACAGGACTGTGTAGCCCTCTTAATATTTGAAAAGAGAAGGGAGGTTCTCTCAGTGTCCTGGCCAACAATTCCTCAAATGAAATGTGTCACTCGTTTCATGGCTGTTTGTGGGACATTACTGTTTGTAAATTACGCTGCAAAATGTACTCAGCCACAAGTAAAATGATGAATCACACACTTTACATGAAATCATTTGAAGCACTTTGAAATGTTATGAAAGGTGCTGTATCAAATGCAAGATTTATTTATTATTCTTATTAATTAGAATTTGTAAATCTCTTTCAGAGATTTTTTTATGTTAAAGCCATTGTATAACTGCAAGCTGTTATTTTTCAGGAACTTTCTGATGGGCCAGGACCACCTGACACCAAACCTTGGTGAGTACCTGCAGATTTGACAGTTTAAGGTACAATATGAGAATTACTGAACTAAAAGCTGAAGCTAGTGCTTCAGAGTAGATCTGAAAAGTGGGATATATGGTTTCATGGGAATAAGTGAAATAATTAAGTGTGAGGAATAGCCAAAAGAGCAATTGTTAAATGAAATCATGGTATATCAGGAGAGAGGTCTAGAGATTATTGTGGATAAATCAATGTCAGCCCAATGCTTACAGAGCATTAGATACTCATTCTAAATTATTAGCAGAGGCATAGAGTACAAATTGAAAGAGGTTGTACTCTTGCTTTGTAAGAATTTGCCATGCCTCGTCTGGTATTTTGGGTTGCTTAATGTCAGGAAGAGCATTTTTTTCGATAGGAGAGTACAGAGGTAGGTAATCTGGATGAAGCTGTGTTTTAAGAATACGGGAGCAAAGATATGAGCTTGTTCTCATTGGAATAGAGGATGTCTTCAAGGTTATGAAATAGATTGACCATCTTCATCCATACAATTTAGATGGACACCAGGATCCGTAAGCGAGGCATAAGGAATTTAGTATGTCAGATGAACTTTTTTTAAATACAAAGGCTAACGGACTCAGTGGACTCATGGGGTATAACATTCGATTGATTTCCAGCAGGATTCCACAGTGAGGGAATACTTCTAGTCACTGGAAGTCACGTTGACTTATAGAAATATGTAGAGTGTTGCAGCACGGAAATGGGCCATTTGGCCCAAATAGTCCGTGACCATTTATCCTCCACACAAGCTTCCACGTCTCCTATTCCCCTCACCTTTTCCCCTCTATGTGCCCTTCTTTGTGTATATGCAAATATGCCGATGCTTTTTGCATCAAGCCACAACTTCTAGTAGTGAGTTCCACATTCTAAATTATCCTCTGTGTAAAGAAATTTTCCTAAACTCCTTTTTAGTAGATCTGCTACTGGTATAGCCCTTTGCTTTGGACTCGCTAACTAGAAATAGCCTATCAAAATTCATTGTATCGAATCCTTCATAAATCTATCAATTGTCTCGGATCGAGAGAAAAGCTTCAACCCGTCCAGTCTTTCTTGATAGCTGTATCCATTCATTCCTGGTAACATCCTAATATATTTATGCTGATGATGATAGATGGATGGATGGATGCATATTTAAATGTGTGGGTGTGTGTGTATGTATGTGTGTGTGTATATATAGATATATATGTTCTCTCTTTTACATATTATATATATTGTGTGTGTATAATGTAACTTATAGGAACTCTGCTGTGTAAGGAGATAGCACCAACACTGAGTTCCTCCAAATTAATGGGCCATACCTCTGGTTTCCTTATTAAGGAGCCCTGTAATAAATCAATGTGTATTTGACCTCACGGTTAGAAGTGCAACATTGTAATTCCTATTTTTACCTATTCTGCCATAAAGATTAATAGTCAGTCTCTGCAAGGCTATTTTCAGCATATTAGAAGCAGGAAGTGCCAGATTCTTGATTTGGAAAATGTATGTGTTGGTTTAAGAACCGTCTCTGAGCAGTCGCTGAAGCACAGTTATGAATATTCATGTTTGAGAGGAAATTTAGAACAAGAACTTTGTTTACATTTCATTTAACTTTACAAGACCTGCCCGCATTCCCTTCAGATTATTGTTCCTGCTGTCTCACTACAGGCCACCTGCGGGCAAAGTCCCTCCTGCTCGTCGTCCAACGGCTAAAGTGGGCCCGGCAAGGCCACCCCCACCAAAGATTGCAGCTGCACCTAACTCACTCCGCCGTTCTGCATCTGAACTGGCAATATTCAACACCGACGCTAGAAAAACCAGTCCGAGTCGCCCCGGGAGGAAGCAATCGAAGAGTCAAGTCTTACAGAAGAATCGGCCCGATCTCCCACCTCGTCCAAGTCCTGGGCACCCGCTGTACAATCAATACATGGTAATCCATTGCGATTCCAGCACGATAATGTAGGGCGCCTACAACCTGCCTCGCCATTGCGAGCAAACTAGGACCACAGTGCAGTAATGCGTAAATGCAAATCAATTCTAAGTACAGGCAGGACTCTTAGAACACTTGTAAAGTGACATCAGTGGTGTTTCCTGCAAAAGTACGTGTGTATAGGATGTGATATTAGTGGCAGGCTGATGATCTGGGAATCGGCCTTTTTTTAGCACCAGATACTGGATGTTCTGTACCTTTGGTGTAGTGAGGTTCACAGTAGACCAGCATTCATAGTGAAACCGCTCTCGAGCAGGGCTCATTCCAATGGGCCCGGCCCTGAATATGGTCATGGGGGGATAGATGTATAGTGAAGTATTTAGTACTTGGAGGTTTCCACACTTTGCTTCAGGGCGCTACTGTTATAAGGCTCCCCAGTTTAGCTATAATGCACCCTTGGCTCTATAGGTACACTATAGACCTGCACTGTACCAGAAGTACATATGGCAAAAGACTGTCTGCCTTTCAGGTAGCAGGTGACTGCAGGTGACCTCCATTCATCAGCCAACCCCTGCTAAACACCCTCAGACAGCCCGGATTGCACCTCAGGCGCTGCCAGCATCAATATCCATGGCTGCACACTCAACCTCACTAAGCCAGTCAGGAACCTGGGTGTCTTATTTGACCATGAACTGTCCTTTAAGAACATAAGAACATAAGAATTAGGAACAGGAGTAGGCCATTCGGCCCCTCGAGCCTGCCCTGCCATTTGATAAGATCATGGCTGATCTTCAGACCTAACTCTAATTACCTGCCCTATCCCCTTATCCCTCTTTTTTTAAAAATCTATCAGTCTCATCCTTGAAGATGTTCAAGGACTGAGCATCTACAGCCTTCTGGGGTAGTGATATCCATAAATTCACTACTCTCTGAGTGAAGAAATGTTTCCTTAACTCTGTTCTAAAAGGCTAACCCTTAATTTTAAGACTGTGACCCCTGGTTATAGATTCTCCTACCAGGGGAAACAGACCCTCAGTGTCTACTTTATCCAGCCTTTTAAGAATCTTATATGTTTCAATAAGATCTCCCCTAATTCTTCTGTACTCTAGAGAATATAGCCCTAGTTTATTCAGCCTATCCTCATAGGTCAGTCCCCTCATCCCAGGAACTAACCGAGTGAATCTACGCTGCATGCTCTCTGGGGCAAGTATGTCCTTTTTTAAATAAGGAGACCAAAACTGCACACAATACTCTAGGTCTCACCAAGGCCCTATACAGTTGCAGCAAGACTTCCCTACTCTTGTACTCTAAACCTTTTGCAATGAACGCTAACATGGCGTTCGCCTCTTTAGTTGCTTGCTGCACTTGCAAACTAACGTTTTGAGACTGGTGTACAAGGACACCCAAATCCCTCTGAACACTAACACTATCTAATCTCCCCCCCTCTAGAAAATAATCAGTTTTTCTATTTTTTCTACCAAGGTGAATAACGTCACACTTCCCCACATTAAATTCCATCTGCCACCTACTCGCCCACTCCCTTAGACTATCTGTATCCCGTTCCAATCTTTTTGCAATATTTTCAGAGCTTACTCTCCCACCTAGTTGAGTGTCATCTACAAATTTAGATACGTTACATTCAATGTCTTTGTCTAGATCATCGATGTAAATTGTAAATAGCTGAGGCCCAAGCACTGATCCTTGTGGCACTCCACTAGTCGCATCCTGCCAATTCGAGAATGACCCGTTTATTCCTACTCTCTGTTTTCTACCCATTAGCCACTCTTCAATCCATGCTAATATGTTCCTATTAATCCCGTGGGCCTTAACGTTGTGCAATAGCCTTTTGTGTGGCACTTTGTGAAATGCCTTTTTAAAATCTAAATATACTACATCTACTGGTTCCCCCCTATCTAACTTGCTAGATACATCTTCAAAAAACTCTAAAAGATTAGTTAAGCATGACTTCCCTTTTGTAAAGCCATGTTGACTCTGCCTAATCTTGTTATGGTCTTCCAGGAATCCCATAACGACATCTTTAATTAAGGACTCAAGAATTTTCCCTACCACTGATGTCAGACTAACTGGTCTATAGTTCCCCATCTTTTCTCTCCCACCCTTCTTAAATAGTGGTGTTACATTTGCAATCTTCCAATCAATGGGAACCGTTCCAGAATCCAGAGAATTTTGGAAGATCAAAGATGAGCCATCCACTATCTCAGTAGCCACTTCTTTTAAAACCCTAGGATGTAGGCCATCAGGTCCAGGAGATTTATCAGTTTTAAGACCTGACAATTAACCTAAAACCATTTCTTTACTAATATTAGTTCCCCCAAGTTGCTCGCCAACATTGTCTTCGTGGTTCCCCTCTATTCTTGGTAGGTTTTCAGTGTCTTCTAAGGTGAAGACAGTAGCAAAGTACTTGTTTAATGACTCTGCCATGTCTTTGTCCCCTACTATAATTCCCCCCCGTCTCTACCTGTAGCGGACCCACATTTACCTTTAACAGCCTCTTCCTCTTTATATATTTATAAAAACTCTTGCAGTCTGTCTTTATGTTCTTCACTAGTTTGCCCTCATATTCCATTTTCTCCCTCTTAATCACTTTTTGATTTTCCTTTGTTGATACCTAAAGTTCTCCCAATCCTCGGATTTACTACTCATCTTAGCTGTTTCTCCCCCACATCCGAGACACGACCGGCACTGCCTACCACCACCTCTGCAACATTGCCAGACTTCGTCAGTGCCTCACCCCTCAGGATGCCGAAACCCTTATCAACGCATTCGTCACATCAAGGCTCAATTATGGAAACTCCCTCCTCATCGGCCTTCCCAACTCTTCCCTTCACAAGCTGCAGATCATCCAAAACTCCACAGCTCATGTACTCTCACGCACCAGGCTCCGTGACCCCATCACTCACACCCTTGCCCAACTCCACTGGCTCCCCATCCCCCAGAGGATCGAGTTCAAGATCCTTGTCCTCACTTTCAAGGCCATCCATGGCCTTGACCCCTCCTACTTCTCTGACCTGCTGACTCCCTACCAACCTGCCCGCTCCCTCCGTTCAGTGAGCTCTGGTCTGCTCCATGTCTCTCGCCCGACCCACCCTACCATCAGTGGCTAGACTTTCAGCCTCTCTGCCCCCACACTCTGGAACTCCATCCCACAGTCCCTTCGCCTTGCTTCCTCCCTTGCCTCCTTCAAGGTCGGTCTCAAGACCCTTCTCTTCGTTCGTGCCTTTTGTCACTCTCCCACGTCTCTGCCTTCCCTCACCCCTACACCACACCTCCCCCATGCTTGGGCCCCGACCCCTGACTGTTCAGCGCTTTGGGACGTCCTCCTGATGTGAAAGTTGCTCTATAAATGTAATTTTGTTGTTGTTGTTTGCCCATTGCCCTGAGAGGTTGTTGAAAACCGTTTTGACTATATTTTTATCACAAACCTATTAATGTTTGTACTGTAGAATGGGTTTCATGCAGGTGGCCTGGGGCTCTGAGAGTGCATAATATGGAGCTTCGAGACCAGATGTTCATGTTGGAATGGGCAATTCTGAGCTTGTTATTTTACTTCTTCCTAGCTGCCAGTGCCGCATGGGATTGCTGAGTGTGAGGTCAATTCCAAGGTCTCGGGAGACCTGTCCTTCCAGGTGAGGTGGCCAGTGCACCTATTTCTACAATCTGCATTATTGATGTGCTATTGGCAATGAAAAGGCATTTGGTTGTATTCCAGTTTCAGAGGTACAGTGTTTATGAAGTGACCCAAAAAACTGGGCTCCTGTTTGGGTGAGGGGAAGAATGCAGGAGGAAAATGATTCAATGGTTCATTTAGTTTGAAAGTCCTTGAGCTGAATTCCTACCATATTTACCATGTTTGGGTGCTGAAATTGGGTTTTCACCCATGGGCAAGAGAGGAAAACAACCAAGATTACTGCTCTGCGTAGTATCTCAGCTAGAAAATGTGTGCATGTGCTTGTGAGAGATTTAGGTAGATATTGGATGACACTCACTGTCCAGACTTACACATGAACAATTCCCATTTGACAACAGTGACGAAGATCCCATTGGAACCAAGTAGACTGGAGTTGGAGAGAGAATTGGGGAACAAAGGAGCATTTTTCTGCCATCATTGAAAAAAAATAAACTTATTCTGTGAGAACATAAATATCATTGATTTGTGCACCCAGCTTGGATTGTTGTTGGTGAAAATTTTTTGTTGATAATCTGGAGTATTAAATGATAATAATAATAATAATCCTTGCATTTGATATAGTGCTTTATCGTGTCTTTGAGACGTCCAGAAGATCTTCACAGAATATATCATAAAGTGAATTGACTGTATCTTGTAGGCAAAATGCGGCAGCCAATTGCACACAGCAGTGACCCACAAACAGTCATGGATTGAATGACCAAATTATTGTTTTTATTTTTCATTTATTTTGAAGGGATTATCACTCCCGGAAAGGCGATCTGCCAATTGACTAACAATTGGGCTCCTACTTACGGCTAGCTTAAATGCAAGGAAAACCCCAAGACTGAACCATCTGTCTGTCTTTCTCTCTATTGATAGCGTGGCGACGTTCTTGTTCTCCAGCGTCGTGTTGATGGCAAGACTCTCCGGTGCCAGAAGGGCCTTGAGACTGGCAAGGTTCTTCAGTCTCATATGACAATAATCACTCCATTGGATGATGAACAAGTGAAGGTGTCAGGAAAGGTCGGTAAACCCATTTCCAACGCATCAACCTATTTTATATAGCATCTTTCACATAGGATAACGTTTTAGAGCACTTCAGACTCTATTAGATGCTGAGTGAGTCGGGGGGGGGGAGTGACAATAGGCAAGGTTGAAGAAGTAGGATTTTAGGCAGGACTTTAAAGACTGATAGAAAGGGGGTGAGTTGGAGAGGTTAGAGGGAGTGATTTTCAGAGGTTAGGGGTGTAGTTGTTTAAAACCTGAAGGAAAGCTAGAATAATCTTCTTAGGGAAATTTTACTTCCTTTTGGTGGTATTCGGTGTGGGTGGGTGGGACGAGATGGGAGACAAACGGATGGACAGACGAGAAAGGAATAAAGTTAATGTGATAAACTTCCCAGTAGTTTTGGGATTAGGATTGTTCTGAATTGTAACTCTTCAAAGATTCAAAGAAGAGGAAGTTCAGTTGCTGGCAATTGGCTAGGTTTATGTACTGTACAAATCATCTTGTCCTGTAATCTCATCTGTGCCCTATTATGTTTTGTTAGAAACCTTCTCCGCAGAGACAGCCAGATGGAGACCGAAATGCTCCCCACGCAACAGTGCTGCATGACTTTATAGCAGGTAAGGACCCGGGTGAGGTGAGAATTTAATGAGTGAAGGCTGGTCAATGCCTTAGCCTCCTTCAAGTCCTGCCTCAAGACCCTCGTCTTCAACCATGCCATGGGCCACCCCCTTCCCCTCCCTTCCCCCCCCCAACCCCAGCTCAGGTATGAAATGCTGTACTCTGTCCAGCGCCTTGGAACATTCTCCCAACATGAAAGGCGCTATACAAATGTAATGTTGTTGTTGCCTCTACCTAGCCATAATCAGTACTGCAGGAACTGTAATTTAAAAATGGTAAGAGTGGTTCAAGCAGATGAAGCTGTAATCCTCTCACTCTTTGATCTCATCCAGGTCCGAAGGGAATGGGTTCAACTATATATAATTCAGTGGAGATGCACTGACCAGAGTGTCTGTTTCTCTTTTCCCTCAGAGCAAAATGATGAGCTGAATCTGAAGGCCGGAGATGCTGTGTATTTGCTGGAAAAACTGGATAAAGACTGGTTCAGTGGAAAATGCAAGGGACATACTGGAATTTTCCCTGCTAGCTTTGTCAAAGTTGTTGTAAGTTGCTGATTTGCCATATCTGTGTAATTTGTCAAATGCCTGGATCTTAACATAGATCCAGAAATTAGGGGAAGAAACCTCATAACCTCATGTTTACACACTGGCTAGTGAACAGTTTGTTACCGAGTGATATTCTCAAACCAATTAATATTTATAACCTGCTTCACCCCAGATCTTTCAAACTTTCTCCCTTGGCAAGTTCAATGCAATTCATGAGGTACATGTGCCTTCTATTTTTACTGTGCATCAGCTTATTCTGAGTCATAAGGTTGTGGGTTCAAACCCAACATCGGGACTCCGAATCACATGGTGTGAGCTGATACTCCAATGTGGGGTGGGGGGGTGCTGCATTGTCGGAGGTGCCGTCCTTCAGATCAGACATTAAACAAGCCCCATCTGCCTGTTCAGGTGGATGTTACAGATCCCATGGCACTACTCAAAAAAAAAAAAGAACGTCTCTCAGCGTATCCTGGCCAGTTAGCCCGCTAATCAAATTGATCACTCACTCCATGGATGTTTGTGGAACATTGATAAACTCAAATTGGCTGAAACTTACGTAGTCAGCACACTTTACAGTATATCTTGTGAATTGCTTTGGGGCATCCTCTTGACATGACAAATGTAAGGATTATTATTGTTTTACTGTGGATGTGAGTCATTAGGGGATTGCCTTTACCCACTATACCATCAAGGGAGAAAGCAAATGTTTGTTAAACTTCTGACCATACTTATTTTATCTTAACATACGTTCACATACCAATGCAAAGCCATTACACTTTACAGTAAATCTTTTGAAATGCCTTGATAAAACACGATAAAACACTAATCTCAAATGCAAGGAATATTATCTTTGATGAGAATAAGTAGTGTACCAACCAGTTAATTTATTTTTGGCCAGGTTGACCTCCCTGCAAGTGGCTTACAGGAAAGAAATACGAAGAAAGTTGTGAATAAGTCATCCTCGCTTACCAGGTTGGCTTCAATACCTCTATAATTGTGAAGCTGTCTTTAGTTTAACTTCTTACCAAATTGAATCTTAAATGTGGTGGATTTTAATCATTTGATAGCGTTATTATTTTTTGATTTACTCCCTTTCTGTCTTCAAGTCGCGCCTTAAGACCTGCCTCTTCAACCATATCCACTGTCACCTCCTCCTCTCCCCCCTTACCCTGCTTGGCATCCATCCCCTCCACTTTAAAGCGCTCAGAGAACATTCTTCGTGAACGGCACTATATAAATGCAAGTTGTTGTAAGTGTCCTTTATTTTATCCATACTTCCCGTATATAAGGTAGTTTTTAGAAAAGTGAACATGTTTAAGCCGTTGGTCGTAAATGTGAGGTTTCAACAGTCCGTTGGGCTGTGATGTGGATACTGTGCTCTCTGACGTTCTGCCTATTACACAGAGGACCTCGATGTGTGGCTCGTTTTGACTTTGAGGGAGAGCAGCCTGATGAGCTTACTTTCTTCGAAGGAGATGTTATTGCACTGAAAGAGTATTTGAATGAGGAATGGGTTCGAGGACAACTGAAAGGTCACGTTGGAACGTTTCCTCTGAATTTTGTAGAGATTATCGAGGACCTCCCGATGCCAGTATTGCAGCCATCGCAGAACACATCGGTGTCCTCGGGTAAGTGCACTCTGTTAGTCTGGGTTACTCAGATGTGCTTATCTTAGGGGTTACTGTTTCGCACTGGTTCTGATGACACTCCTAACATGTGCAAGAAAAGTCATTCTTAAAGCCATGTGTCTGTCTTGCTGGTGGACACTGCTGGGTTTCTGTGGATTAATGATTGACAGTTGAAATGGAGAATTGTCCCATTGGCCTTTCATTGCCACTGCGAGCCACTATCCAATTGCAGCATCTCTCTTTTAGGGTCTGACACCTGTGAAATCCCTCTCTAAGGGTCTGACACCTGTGAAATCCCATCATCTTGTTTAAGAGTTCTGCATTCAAATCAGACAAAGATGTCCACATACGCATGCACCTGTTAATTTCCCTATGTTTAGTATGGAATGCACCCCCACTTACCCAATTCCACAAAGTATTAGGTGCACGTTACCAAGCTTAGGGGATAGTTTCAGGGTATGTAGGAAGGATTTACATTGGAAATGTGAGAGCTCATTATCTGATGCATCTATCTACATGATATTGGACAAGATGGCCTATGAGAAGGATGCCTTTATTCTGTGCAGCTTCCAGGAATTCAGTAGCAGCCCCGTGGGCTGATTTCAGTGATGGGGCTTCCCCAGCATTCAAACTTGACACCATCTTGTCAAGAGCCATGTGCTCCTGTCAGTGGTCTGAAACTTTGAAATTATCTTTTTACTGTCAGCAAGATAAACCTTGTGTAGTCTGGAAACTTACGTTAAAACTATCTTTCCTTAGGTTTGGCATGTCTGTGAGTGGCAAGACAGAAGATACCCCCGTGACCAGTCAGGTAACACTGTTTTTGAGTGAAAGATCCAGCTTTGTTATAGCTAAGTTGTCTGCAGTCATTTCATCTGAATTACTGTGTCCCAATACCAACTTGAGCCTCAGCTCAAGTTGGTATTGGACACAGTAATTGATGAACTGCTGAAGAGCCCTGCATTGGTGCGGCCCTCCCTTGTTTGTCCAAGATGTTTAAACAAGGTTCTGGCTACCTGTTGAAGTGGATGTTAAAATATTACATCAAACAATAACTCTTATAATTATGCTTTGCTTATAAAGCAGATGCACTGTGGACCCACAGCTAGTTTCCTGCACTGGGTATGTGCGACCTAATCTGCCCGCAATATTGGGTTGGTTGTGTACCACAGCAAAACACAACAGTACACAATCAAACCTGCTAGAGCAAGCAAGGCTCTGTATTTTGAGGCCAGCAGTTTTCACGTGCACAGGACCATCATCTCTCATATGTTTGGTGATTTCATGATGCGGAAGCACTAACTGGTGATCACATTGCGTTATTAATATCCTCGCATTTGATTTTGTGATTTTCACGTTGGGACAATATTTCAAAGCTCTTCAGCAGGATTTACTGCAAAGTTTAGTGACTGTGCTGGTTAAGCAGCCAATTTGTGCACAGCAATAAGCCATACACAGGCATGACGTAAATGTCCAATTATAGTATGTTTTATAAATTGAGTTGCAGGTTAATGTATTCCAACCGTCCGGTTATAACATGGTTACATCACATTCGAAAAGGCAAGGCAGTTCTCAACTATCACCACAGTCGCATGCTACAGAGTAGGGTCGTGATTCGAGAGCAGAACAGGTCATTTAGATTTCATTACTTTGGAAAAAGAATGGAGTTCTGAAGTTGGAGACGGGACAGTTTGTTAGCAAATTTAAGAGGAAGTTAAATAGATCTTTGTGAAGAAATCAATTGAGACGTACTAGAGTTGGATTTTTTTCAATTAAAAGTACTTTAGGATTTTCTAGGTAAACCTGCGCATTCGCAAGTAAACCTGTAGAAAAATGTGCCCGTGTGGGTCTGCCCTAAGCTATACAGATTCCGATTTTGATTCTTAGTTAACTGATCTTATCCATGGAAATGGTGGTAGTGGTGAAGAGGGGTTCAAATTAGCCTGGGTTCCCTGCTAAACAGAGATCCTTAATGGAGTTGAATGTGTGTGGATACCTGATGAGAACAAGATCTGACCTGCCTTGATGCTGTCTAACTTATCAGCATTGTCAAAGGTCACTCATAAAGATGGGTCACTTAAGTAATGGGTGTCTGTTTCTCCTGAGGTCAATTGAACTGCTTCATCCTCCACCTTGGCTGAGCCCAGCTGCTGTCGGCACAGGCCTAGATTCGACTGTAAGGTCTTCTGATCTATGGGAGACCTGTAGCTCAGTGGTTAGAGCACTCACCTTCCAAGCGAGACATCTGGGCTTGATTCCTGGCAGGGCGAAACCTTGGGCAAATTTACTTAATCTACACACTTGATAATAAACCCTCAAGAAAAAAATAAATAAAATTGATCACTTGAATCCACGACTATTTGAGACACTGCTGTGCGCAATTGGCTGCTGCGTTTCGCCCACAAATATATAGTCAATTCACTTTACAGTATATTCCGTGAAGCGCTTTGAGATGTCTAGAAGATGTGAAAACCGCTGTATCAAAAGCAAGGCTTATTGTATTATTTATTTATGAGGACTTTATTGCTGCACTTGTCTGTGCATTAGGCCATAAGAAAGCTCTTTTTCTGCTGATAGCACACTGATCCGATTTTGTACTGTAATTGCTGCAGATTGAAGACTTGGGCACAGAGTGGTGTGAAGCACTTTATGATTTCAAAGCGGAGGATCCTGATGACCTGTCATTTAAACAAGGAGATCGGATTCTGATCATGGAACAGCTAGATGCTGAGTGGTACAAAGGGAAACTGAATGGGCACGAGGGAATATTCCCGACTGCGTTTGTTCAGTTCTGTTCAGGTACTATCGTCGTGAACCTGGGAGTTCGTGACACCGAGGATTAGCAAAATTCTCAATTTTCATTCTGAATATTTGTGCAGTCATTCAGGATAAATCAGTGACTTTATGGCTACTTTTTTCTTCAGGAACCGTGAATTCAGTAAAACAAACTTTGGGGAACAAGAGAGGCAAAGCCAAGGCATTGTATGATTTTGCAGGGGAGAATGAAGATGAGCTCACTTTTAAGGTATGATGTGCCTCAATACAATACAGTATAATTTGTCTCCTGTTGAATCCTTTATTTAGGTGGTAGAAACCTTTCCCAGGAATGGAAGGCAGAAGTACAGTAATTCAGCAATTTTCCAACAATTCTTTAAACTATTTAAAACAATAAGTCTTCATTTTTATCTGATGAAATCTGACATTTCACACAAATCGTTCAATCCTATGCTGTGCTACAGCCTCCATTGGAACCATCTACATTTGGGAAGCTTCATTACTCCACATGCCTCCGTTTACCTCGCAGTAAGTAGTCAATTGGCTGTTAGTCAATTGGCGGATTGTTTTTCTGGGGGTAATAAACCCTTCAAAAAAATAATAATAATTTGGTCACTTAATCCATGTTTGTGGGACACTGCTGTCCGCAATCAGCTGCTGTGTTTTGCCCACAAAATATACAATCAATTCACTTTACAGTATATTCTGTAAAGAGCTTTGAGACTTCTCAAAGGTAAGGTGCTAGATCAATTGCAAGGATTATTATTATCTTCACTATTTACAGAATTTACAGAAGTGGAGTCCTGTAGCTCAGTGGTTAGAGCACTCGCTTTGCAAGCGAGAGACCTGAGTTCAATTCCAGGCAGAGGGCGAAACCTTGGGCAAGTTTCCTTACTCCACACGCCTAATAATAATCCCTCCAAAAACCACAAACAATAATTAAATTGGTCATTTTCAATCTACGACTGTTTGTGGGACATTGCTGTGCACAATTGGCTGCCGCGTTCGCCCACAAATATACAGTCAATTCACTTTACAGTGTGTTCTGTGAAGCGCTTTGGGACGTCCTCCCGACGTGAAAAGCGCTATAAATAATGCAAGGATTATTTTTATTATATTAGAAGTGGAAGGGTAAAATATTCAATCCACTGCGTCACCCACTTCCTCTTTATTACAATTGTTTGTAGTCCTGTTTCATGCTGATTCCATTATCAAGTGATCCAATTTTCCGCCTTTTTTTAAAAAAAAATCTCCTTTCCTAAAGATGTTCAGCTTCCACTGGGATATGATTCCATCAAGTGCTTGTTGGCCTCCAGGTGTCTTTATTGCTGTGTGATATGGCACCGATTGTTGGCTGGTTATTTTGACCACAGGAGTTATCCCATCTCAGGATGACCCTGTACACTCCCATCCACACACTCATCTTCCAGCAGTTTCTGGATTGTGATTAGGACTTAAATATGAACACCTCAAACTACCATCCTAGACTTAAACCGAAAACCTGAGATTTTGTTTCTCTCTATAGTCCCGTACTACTGAATAGTGACTTTACCCACGAGATACCAATCATTTACATAAATCTGATTTCCTTGCTTGGACAATTTGGTAGAGATATGTCCATGAAAATATTGCCAATATAGCCTCATGTTTATCACAACCCTTAGCTTCTGCCGTGCTGCATGGAACCTGGTACTTATAAAATGAAATGGCATCCATCTTTATTGTAAGCAATGATCTTTTTATTTCAAGGTTGGAGATATGATTGTCGAGTTGGAATCAATAGATGCTGATTGGATGAAAGGAGAACTACTGGGAAAAGAGGGAATTTTTCCCAGGAACTTTGTCCAAATTGTTCAAGAGCCATTGTGACTTTTCCTTCACTTGTGCTGAAGTGGTAAAGCAGAGCATGACTGAATTTTATCAATCATGCTCCGTGACCTTTTGTACTGAAGGTGACCAAAAAGAGCTCAATGACCATTTGTACTGAAGGTGACCAAAAACTGGAATGAATTAACCCTTGAGATGAAGTCAATCAAATGGATTCCACAGTTGTGAATTTGGATGCACTGCAGTCACTTGGGTAGGTGTATGGGTCAGTCTTGGATATCCACATTTTCTTCAGTTAATGAGCACTACAGATTGTATTTTTGTACCACAATGCCACTCAGTCATAATGAATGTTGCTGTAGTGATGTTTCATTGCAGATTCAGAGAGCAAGACACCAATCACATTATCATCAACAGGAATTGCCTGTACATACTGATATTGACATCAAAAGGGCTGGTTTTCCCTTTTGTGCTGTCATCTTTCATTTATATTTTCTCTCTCTTTAATACTAACCTCAAAAGTGCCTATTTACATCCTGTTCCTTATCTTTCAGCTACTGATCTTTTTAAAAAGCTTTTTTTAAAAGTTCTAGCATTACAATACTGATACGGTATTATTGTCAAATGACAACTGGCTATGGATGGTACTGAATTATTCTGGTGTGCGTTCTTCACTGCTCACTTTTGCAAGAATGATGACTTTATAACCTTTTGAATAAACCATATTTATTTCTTAATTTATGTGCACATGTATTATTTGGGGAACAAATATCACTTGATATTAAGATACCATTTTACAGAATTAACTTGCCTTTCTGTGGTGATGTTTTAAGTTCTATTAATATTGCATGCATCACTGATCTATCTGTTAGTCCAAAACATCCACAACTTTTCAAAAATTCACTTGACAGCTTGCTCGTGTTTAAGTGGCTCATATTGCCACCTTGTGGCCAGTTCCTACAAAAATATACACTTGTTACACATTGACTTAGTTTTGTATCTATAAAAACATTTAATTTATGATCCTGGAACCTAGAGCCATATTTTACTGTGAAGAAAGCATCTGAAACATCCTCAATACATTTGATATTGAAACAACTACCTTTGTGGAGTCCTGTAGCTCAGTGGTTAGAGCACTCGCTTTGCAAGTGAGAGACCTGAGTTTCCTCACTCCACACAGAGCCTAATAATAATCCCTCCAAAAAAACAAACAATAATAATTGGTCATTTTCAATCTACGACTGTTTGTGGGACATTGCTGTGTGCAATTGGCTGCCGCGTTCGCCCACAAATAGTCAATTCACTTTACAGTGTGTTCTGTGAAGCACTTTGGGACGTCCTCCCGACGTGAAAAACGCTATATCAAATGCAAGGATTATTATTATTACCTCTAATCTAGTTTTAAGCGGTCAGTTACTGGTCAGATTGTATTCAGCATTTGTCTGGCTCAGAAAAAAATACTATTGTGTCTGAGTCATAAGGTCGTGAGTTCCAACCTTATGTTGGAACGTAAGATCGTATTCCCAATTGATATACTCCACTGTAAGTACTACATTGCATTTAAGTAGACCATCTTTCAAATGAGATGTTAAACTAAGGTTCCAATCTGTCCATTCAGGTGGATAAAGCTTTCATGGCACTATGCGAAAAAACTAATTTCTCCTTGTAGCAACCCTCCAGATAAAATTGGTTGTTCATTTTATGGCTGTTTGTGTACACATTGACTAAAAATAAATGTTTACAGCATTTTTAGGTGTTTCAAGGAATGTTACATGAATGCTTTAATATTTTATGGAAGTACCTGGACTAAACTATTTCTATAGCAGGTTATTTGTATTGTAAACCAAATACAAACTTAAAATATGAAAAAAAAGTTCATCTAGACTGAACTACAAGTCATTCAGTCTAGTATTAATAGTATCATATGCTTGGATCATGAACTCTCTCACAAGACCATGGTTTATATCATCATGCTATCAATGTCTTGACTGCTTCCCATGCAAAATGGATCACCCCCTTCACTAATTTCATCACTCACTTCCAGTAACTTTAAAATATCTGATCTATCAGAATAAACTTGCCTACACGGTCTGCCAGAGGTGCTCACCAACCCTTTGCGATGAGCAACCTAGTACCATGGGAAAAGGTTGCCCTCAGCCAAACATGTGGTAGGCTGCTCCCTTCCAACATCCATTTCTGACAAAAGATCATTGCCCTGAAACATTAACTCACTTTCCTCTCCATAGATGCCGAGTGTTCCCAGTGACCTGTTTTATTTTAGGCTGTTTTGGCAAGGTCTGAGTGATTCGGGTTTAAATGAGCAAAATTAAGTTTTTTAATCTATCATATAATAGACACAAACTGACAGTTGGTCCCTTGGTGCATGTGCAGTATGTATGTCCTTCTGGTGGCAGGCAATTTTATAGATTGGGTGGTGGGGGGTAGGGGAGAGGAGAAAGCTGAGCAAACCATAGCACAGAGGAGGTTTAAAGGACGGTTAGTCTAACAAGACATCAAGGTTCTGTACTGGCTCCCTGAGATAGCGCGTGTATCCATGGCTGAAGTGAGATGGCACACAGGGGAGCCCCTGGCTTTTCAACTGAAAGTTAGGTGAAATAAAACATGTACCCAGTTAGATTTTGGATGTTTTATTACACAAGTTTAAAATGTATTTTCAGACAGTTTCTTGGACTGGTGGTTCATATCCATCAGCTCGATCAACCTTAGCACCAGTTTCCTCCCCAGAGGGTTTGCTTGTGATGCTTCCTCCTTCACCGTGCAACTCCATCAGCTTGCCCACTGCAAGAGATTAATTCAATTTTGTAAAATGCTTACCACAAAAACATATCATGTGTAACACTTACATTTTGAAAGGTTTGCAATACATGTGGTTAGTTAATGACACTACACGCCAAAGACCCTAACCAGCCTATCCTCTTGGTAGCTTTCCAGTAATCCAATATTTTCTCGCAGTAATCATTTAGGTTATTTGGGAATGAAATGTCAAATCATCAACTGCCCCAATCAAACACTTCAGTTGTCTGGCAAACATCAAATAAATTGTGAAACATGCACTGTCAAAACATCAACTGCCTCATTTATGTAGGTATTTAGCCAAAAAACATTTTACAGTACAAAGACGTTCAACACATTATCTGGTGTTCCCCATTCTGGTATAAATAGGGAGAATTCTCATCCTTGCTCTTCTCCGCAATTCATCATTTACATTGAATTCCACTGACTAATCGTTGCCCACTCCACTAACTCATCCTGTATCCCTCTTCTGTCTGATGACACCTAATTTATTAGCAAAATTGCCAAAGAAAGTAACACGGGGTATGTTGACAACCCATCAGCCTGAACAACATCTCCATTATCGCATGCAACTTTCTGCCCTTCATACATCATGCTCCTACACTTTTTCCCCATTAATGCCATAGGGTTTAATTTTTGCATCAAGCCTTTTCTGCAGAACCTAAAATGCTTTGAAGAAATCTGCCAACAACATTCCCTTTTTTAAAAAAAACACTTCAAATCTGTCAGTTTACCACAGGGTTGGGCTCAGCTGTGAGCCTCCATCTCCTCCACCTATATTGGAGGATGAGTGGCACCTGTCAAGCAACTATCCCAGTAATAGGAAAAAGCTAAAATAACTACAGGAGCATGAAGCTTTTCCAGGGATAATAATCCCCCTAAAAAACAATAATTTGCACTGCACTCTAACCAAGGTGCCCTGTATTCAGTGTGTGGAGCACTGATTTGAATGGTGCAAAACTGCAAGTTAAGGTTGGATTTTAAAACTGCAAATGCATAGGAACCATGAGAAGGCACACTCACATTCAAACTTGGGCTTTTTAAGCATCTTGACTTTCCGAACGTATACATCATGGAGAGGATAAATTGACTGGCAAGCCTTCTCAATGTCCTTACCAATACTGTCTGGGATCCTGAAAAAACAAAAGTAAGGATTGTTAAAACAATACATAGAACAGAAATACCGCTTTGTCAACCATTAACTTTTGGTTTCTTTAGTGATTTTGAATTTTGTCCAACTATTTCAGCTACAACATCATTAGAAGTTTAAAATTCATCAGTATATTAAGCAGCATAGTGCAAGGAGTGATGACTACACAATTCACAGTTCGATTTTTTTAAATTAAAGGTTATAATTTGTGTCCTTGAAATGATAGAAAGCCTTCTGGATAGTTATCGCTCATGCCGTCTCATCTCAGACTCCTAACCCCTCAATCAGCCAGTGCACAGTGTTTTGGCACTCAGTTTAACCTTCAATCTCTACATGCAGTCAATTGCTGTCTTTGCATCTCTGGAATCCCTGCAATCTCATCCAAACCTCTCTCCGCTTTGATTCTGGTTCCATAGAAATGAACAACATAGTGGGAGGCCATTCGACCCATTTATTTTCCATTTGAGCATTGCTTCTCGCAAGATGTTATCCACCCATATCCCAATTCCCCACACCCTTGCTCTGCAATGTGCTTGTCCACTTCTTTAAATGCCCTAAACAGCTGCTCAATTGTCGCCCAGATCATTTCATCTGCAGGCAGCCTTCAGAGCTTCTTCCAAATCTCCCTTGGTTACAATCTTGAATTTATACCTTCTCAAATCCCCTACTAGTGGAAGTTTTTCTGAGATTAATTCTCTCACTCTTCCATTATCTTAAACACTTCTATTACACCACCCCTCAACCTTCTCTTTTCCAACAGATCTCCCTCCTCTGTCAACCAGTGGTGACCACTGTGGCACTGCCTGAAACTATCCCAAAACCTCTGTCTTGCTTCCTCTATTCAAAACCTTCTTAAAACACATGTTTGTTGCAGTTTGGATTAACATCCTTAACAGCTGAATTTTCTCTAGAATTGTTAAACAAATGTAAACTGTTATTGTAAAAAGAAAGTTATAAAAGCAGAATAGAACTAACGAGTAAAGTCATTTAGAATTTCAAAAAACAGCTCTGGGAAAGCTCATTACATCAGTTTTAACCTATTTAATCTCAAATCCAGGGACTGTTTGAACACTATCAGAAATTAGCATTTTTTTAATAAGGCATTTTACAGAATTCCCAGTGAATACTACTAGCTAAATTTAAGCGCTCTGAGATGCTACCATGCGTGGAGGGCACTATATAAGTGCAAGTTGTTGTAAATGACTTTTTCATCAAATATCACACAAGGTATAAGATGGGCAATAGGACAGAATGCCATGACCCCAATATACTGTACTAGAAAACTTGCTTTTGTAGTGGCCAAAATAAATTGAGAATGTCCAGTCGCACTGTTACAAAACCGATGTCCTCATTTAAAGGCAAATAAGTCATTTCAAACTAGAAAGGTATTGATATGAGCATACAACAATGCAGCCAGTGTACTCTATGGTACACACACATTTCTTCCTCTCCTGCAGCAAACAAGACCGTGTACTTCAAGCTGTCCAATACTGCAATACAACACATCTAAACTGGTCAGTCTATTTTGCTGAAGCTTTCCTTTATTTTGTCTGACTTGAACCACACTAGATATAGCAATGTAACAAAAGAATGCAGTCCAACAAAGTAATAGAAGCATGTAAAATGCTTCTTAAATTTGAAGGCTACACAAAAGTCACTCAAAATTCCAAAGCAATACTAGACCAAGATGACATGACCTGTTCTGCAACCAGCAACTGCAATATATTGTCCTACGGGAACTCTCTCCTCGCCGGCCTTCCCGGCACCTCCCTCCAAAAGCTGCAGGTCATTCAGAACTCTGCAGCTCGTGTACTGTCCCGCACCAGGCTTCGGGACCACATCACTCCCACCCTCGCTCGCCTCCACTGGCTCCCCATCCCCCAGAGGATTGAATTCAAGATCCTCATCCTCACTTACAAGGCCATTCACGGCCTCGCTCCCTCCTACCTCTCCTACCTACTATCCCCCTACCTACCTGCCCGTACTCTCCGTTCCTCTGGCTCCGGTCTGCTCCACATCCCCCGCCCCAACCGCCCTACCATCGGTGGTCGGGCCTTCAGCCTCTCAGCCCCGAGGCTCTGGAACTCCATCCCCCAGTGCCTTCGCCGCTTCCTCCCTTTCCTCCTTCAAGGCCGGTCTCAAGACCTTTCTCTTCAACCGTGCCTTCAGCTCCCCTCTCGACTCTCTACCCCCTCCTCGCTCCCTTCTTTCCCTCCCCGACCATTTCCCCCTAAGGCTTGGGTCCCAACCCAACTGTCCAGCGCCTGAGATGTCCTCCCGATGTGAAAGGCGCTCTATAAATGCAATCTTGTTGTTTTGTGTCCTGGAACGGCAATTAAAACTATCGACTCCAAATTGGTGCCAATACAAAACTTGAATGGCATGGCACCTTTTCACACTATGACAAGTTTGTGTAGTACAGTATTAGTCTTACTTCAGGGCAGAATATGGGGAAAGGGCAGGGACTGAAAGGATTGATCTTATAAGAGCCAGAATGGCCTTAGATGCTGCAAATTTCTATGGTTCTAATAAAAACCTTACCAAGAAAGAAGCTTTAATACAACCGCACACAGACTGGAATATACAGACCATTTTCTGTGTTTACTTACAACTTGTTGACAACCTCTTTGAGATCATTTGTTTGTACTTCACGCATCATGATCTCCATCATCTTCTTGCGGATTGTGCAGACCTGCTGGTGTTGAGCATAGGAAGTCTTCCGGATCTGATTGTTCCGTTTCTTGGTGAATCCTACACAGAAGAGACGCAACAGGTATCCATCTGTTGTCTTGACATCAATGTGGGCTTCAATCATGGTCTACAAGGTCAAAGAGGAATTAAATTAATTAAAGGTTACTTTGAGCATAAATCAAATCAGTTCACTAGACAGCAAGCAAATTTTTTTTAAATTAGCTAAAATGAATATTGATTTCCAAACTCCCAAGTTAAAAAAGCACAAATCTCCAATTTCTGATATAGATGGGGAAGTAAAAGAATTAAGCCAGTATCCAGTGACCCTGCTGCAAATGTATATGTGGATTTTGGGAGTAACAGGTCCAGTAAATCAAAGATCTTCGTATACAGCAAGATAACAAAACGTCCTTGAATTCAAATCCCTCCACTCACCTACCTGTCCCGCAACCTTACCAACTCAGTCAACACTGACCTGTTCCATGTTTCCTACCCAACAAATGCCACTGTGAGCTTTCAGCCATTCTATTCCCCATTTCAATATCTATCCCAGAGACCTTACGCCTCTCCTCGTCCCCTCCCTAAATACTTTTAAAGCCCAGCTGAAGATTTATCTCTTCAACCATGCCTTCATAGTTATGTGAAGTGCTTTGAGATAGCTTCCCGACAAAGTGCAGATTAACGTAAACCATTGTATAAACAATATTTCTATGATGTATGCAGATAATTTGAACTATTTGTTTGGAATGATACTGAAGGTGTGAATACATTAACTGATATATTCACAACTCCCATATTGAGCATCAAAATTAAATGACCCCATTGGATTCTATACTGATTAAATCTTACCTGCCACTTCTTGACCATAGAACACATCTTGTCACGTGTTAGGTCCATGCCATGAAAGTTGGTTAGACAGTTCTTGCCCTGAACATCTTCGACAATCAGCTTGAACTTGCGGAAGGCCACCTCATCATTCTGTAAGTCGGCAAGACTCACCTCAAACACACGGCCTTTCAAGCCTTCTGAGGCAATCTCTGCATGACAAATGGGAAGACAAGTAAATAACACTCATCAACCTGCTCACTCTTCACACTAATGCATTTAAAGAATGCCAACTTGCATCTACCTGGAAAAATTAGTTTTCAAGTAGAGCGGAATGTGCTGGAAGGTTTAAGCAGACCAGGAAACAGCAAACCAAATAAATGTCTTCTTTAGCTAGACACCAGTTGACTTCAGATTAACCTCAGGTAAATCAGACAAAACGCCTGTCCCTGATTCATCTGTATTCTTATCTGTTTTAAATATGCCGGTTAATCCAAACAAAAATCTGGTTAATCCGGACAAAATGTGTACTGTGCTATTCAGTCTCGAGCGGTTCCATTCACAAGCAGCTCCAGCCTGTCAATCGGTGGGGGCAGAGGAATGGGGAAGAAACAAGGGAAGGAATGTAGATGGGAGAAGTCAAATCACAATTGACTGACAGCCTGGAGCCACACTTTGAGCAGCTATCCTCAAAGTTGTATAATTCTATATGTGGTACTTTTAACAATCATTTTTTTTCCATTAAAGCTGACAATTACAATATTTGGAAACTTCAGTACAATCTCAATAAACATAATGTTAGGTCATATGGGACCAAAACAAATCTTCATCAAAAAATTCCATATTACTCCTGTACCCATTTTATTTTAACCATGAGCACAACTTGTTCCATTTAAATGGAAGTTCTATACTTACTAGTTCCTTGGGTTCTGGTCACCAGAGTTTTCCCCAGGTTCCTAATGTTAAACATGGCTGGGGCTTTAACATCATACCAGTCCTTCTTGGAAAAAGGATCCACACTGAGGAGAAATTGAAATAAAATTAGTCAAGTATTCAGATTACAGGACAGGGAAAACCTAATACAACAAACCTGAAACAGTCTGTATCAGTTTTGGCTCAGTTGGTGGAACTCACTTCTAGGTGAAAATTTAGATTTGAGTTTCACACCAGGACTTGAGACCTCAGGATTGAGTCCAAAGTAATAATAATCCTTGCCTTTGATAGATCACCTTATCGCATCAACAAAACTTCTCAAACACTTCACTGAATTTACTGTAAAGTGTAGTGACTGTATTTTGTTGGCAAACAGCTATCAATTTGCACACAGCAATGTCTCACAAACAACCATGAATAAAGTTAAATAACCAATTTTATCTGGAGGTTTGTTGGCCAGGAAACCAGGAGAAGCTTTTCAAATAGTGCCATCCCATTAGCATTCCCTGAACATGTTGCCAGGATTGGTTTAACCTCTCAACCTGAAAACAGCACTCCACCAGGAATAGCATGTGAATAGCATGTCGACCTAGAGTGTATGAGCTCAACGACACTTGAACCTACAACCTTGACCCAGACAAGAATTCTTGTGGAGTCCCGTAGCTTAGCGGTTAGAGCAATCACCTCACAAGCGAGAGGACCCGAGTTTCATTCCTGGGCTGGTCAAAACACATCTGTTTACCTAGCAGCAAGTAGGATTGTTTCGCCCTGCCCAGGAATCAAACTCAGGTCCTCTCGCTTGTAAGGCGAGTGCTCTAACCACTAAGCTACAGGACTCCACAAAAGTTCTCATGTCTGAGTCAAGATTGTAGGTTCAAGTCTTATTGAGCTCATATAAACTTGGTTGATATGCTGTTCCTGATGGAGTGCTGCTGAAACTCTGGTCCACGCCTTTATCACCTCAAGGCTGGACTATGGGAACTCTCTCCTCGCCGGCCTTCCCGCCACCTCCCTCCACAAGCTGCAGGTCATTCAGAACTCTGCAGCTCATGTACTGTCCCGCACCAGGCTTCGCGACCACATCACTCCCACCCTCGCTCGCCTCCACTGGCTCCCAATCCCCCAGAGGATCGAATTCAAGATCCTCATCCTCACCTACAAGGCCATTCACGGCCTCGTTCCCTCCTACCTCTCCGACCTACTATCCCCCTACTTACCTGCCCGTACCCTCCGTTCCTCTGGCTCCGATCTGCTCCACACCGCCCTACCATCGGTGGGCGGGCCTTCAGCCTCTCAGCCCCTTGGCTCTGAAACTCTATCCCCAGTGCCTTCGCCGCTTCCTCCCTCTCCTCCTTCAAGGCCGGTCTCAAGACATTTCTCTTTGACCGTGCCTTCAGCTCCCCTCTCGACTCTCTACCCCCTCCTCGCTCCCTCCCTTCCCTCACCCTAACCATTTCCCCCCTGCTCGGGTCCTGACCCAACTGTCCAGCGCCTTGGGACGTCCTCCCGACGTGAAAGGCGCTCTATAAATGAAATCTTGTTGTTGTTGTTTTCAGGTTGAGCAGTTACTCCAAGTTTCCTTATTCCACGTGCGTCTGTTTACCTCGCCGTAATTAGGAACCTGGTTGTTAGCCGATTGGAGCATTGCTTTTCTGGAGATAATAATCCCTTCACTTTACAGTATATTCTGTAAAGCGCTTTTGAGACTCTCGAAGACGCGATAAAGCACTATATCAAATGCAAAGATTGTTAATGCCGCCAACTGCTTGCAGGACACCGCTGTGCGCAATTGGCTACCGCGTTTCACCCACAAAATATACAGTTGATTCACACTTTACAGTATATTCCGTGAAGCGCTTTGAGACGGCTCGAAGATGTGATAAGGCGCTATATCGAATGCAAGGATTATTAATGCCACCAACTGAGCCAGGCTGTCCCCTGAAACACAGAGAAAGTGCTACATTAGTAGAAGGTGCCACACGAAGAGATTACAACACACTGGTTCAGGTGGGCATTAAGTATGCGGCCACACTATTTCGAAAAGAAGGTTGCAGTGTCCTAACCAGCAGCGACCAATAGTCAAAACACACATTGCCGTTGGGGGACATTTGCTGCGTGACATTTCCTGCGTTGGCCCTCGTAGATCATACTTGGAACTAACTTAACAGCCCTCGAGAGAGAGAGAGGGAGAGAGGGAGAGAGAGAGAAGGTTCAGCATCGGAGATCGCGCGCAAAAAAAAAAGACAAAATCTGTGAAGCGCTTTTGAGCCATCCCGGACACGTGACGAGGCGCCACAGCGCACGAAAGCCTTATCAGTCCGTGTGACATTACGGCTAACGCGCTGCTGCTCTCACACGTCGCACATTGCTCCACAGGAGTTAAAAAGCTCAGGGAGGAGAGACCGGGGTGGGGTGGGGGGTGGGTGGTGTGTGGGGTGTGTGTGTGGGGGGTGTGTGGTGTGTGGGGGGTGGGTGTGGGTGGTGTGTGTGGGGGGGAAGTTAATGCGACTCCGCATTATATATATAAAATATATATATATATATAAAAAAGCGAGCGAGCGACTGCTCCTCAACCACTGGCCAACCCGCTCCGCCTCACTCCTGAAGCCGCGGCCTTGGGATGGGATCCCAAGGCCCTGACGGCGGGCGAACCGCCGCCGCTTCACATGATATATTTTCGCTCTCTCTCTCTCTCTCTCTTTCCCCACCGCCGCCGCCGCCATTTCGGGACAGCCATCTCCCGTACCCGTGGAGGAGGAGGAGGGTTAAGGCGTGAGGAGAGAAACCCGTGGCGGCCTGAGGTAGAGGAGCCCCCGGGGCCGGACCCGAACCCTCCCCCTCCCCCCCCGCCACCCCGCATCCGCTGGATATCAGAAGCATCCGCGGGGGCCGTGGCCGCGGACCGGCCGGACGGTGCGCGGGGAAGCCGGCCCGAGGCGCTGGGCGCGAGATGGACGACTCACATCTTCTTTTTGGCCCCTTTCTTGCCGCCTTTGGTCAACCGCTTGTTCTTGCCGACTGCCATGTTGCTCGGGGGGGGAGCTGGGAAGAGGGGGAGGCGGAGATCTCGCGAGACTTTTGGCGGCTCTCTCAGGTGCCCCGGGACTCAGGCTCCGCCCCCTCTTCCCCCCCACCGCCCCCACCGACCCCCCCCCCCGCGCGCGCGCGCGCGCCGACATCTCGCGAGAAGAGCGCGGCGGCCAACAGACAGCGCCAGCGCGGACGGGCAGAGTGATTGACAGCTGGTGCTGCTGCTGCTGCAGAGGTTGGCATTAGGTCAGTGGGGATACTCAGCACCCAGTTCCCTCTCTCCACACTGCTGGCTGACCTGCTGAATGCCCCCCAGCCACTTCTGTGGTTTTTTTTTTTTGGTGCCCGATGGACAGCAGTCCCTCCGCCTCGCCCCCACCCTCCAAGACCCGTCTCGAGACCCTCCTCTTTGACCGCGCCTCTGGTCAGCTTCCTACCCCTGCCCGCCACCCACCCCTCCTAATCCCATCCCAACCACCAGCTTTGGGTGCGGACCCCTGACTGCACAGCTCCTTGATGTGAAAGGCGCTATACACGTGTAATTTGTTGTTGTTGGTCAGATTGGGCGGCTTTCACACCCAGTTTGGGGGTGTTTTTGTTGCACTGTGCATCAAAGAAGACTGCTCTGGGCAGGTGCCCTAATTTTTAATTTATGCCTGCAACATGTCCCCATCCCTTGAAGATTTTTTTCACACAGTTACAAAAGCACTGACCTAAATTGGCCACTCTGCTACCCCCATAGGAGCCAATGCATAATTTTTGGGCTTATACCTGGTTGACTTTGGGCTACAATTCTATTTTAATATCTGGCAACTGGTGGTCTGAGCTGCAAGGGCAGTTTGTACTTAAGTACAGTATACAACAATGTCTCTGCTATTAACAAATCAATATTACATTACCCCTATACCCCTTCAAATAAGGAGGACGATCCCAAAGCACAATATTTACTGTCAAGTGTAGTGTCTGTGTATTTTGTAGCCAAATATAACAGATAATCAGAGAGAATATCTCAAAAGCATTTTACAAAGATACTGTGTCGTACTCTGATATGTCTCAGCAATTAAGGAAGATTGAGATTCCAGCAATTCCAATTGTAATCCTCCACCTCAACCTTCAAAGATGCATACACATTTTGTGCATTAAGAAAAAACTTTATTTGTTTTTGCTGTATTTTTATATTTCATCAAAACACTGGACAGATAATTGCTCCACCCACAAATAGTCATGAGATCAATAGCCAATTATTCTGGAGGATTGTGGGCCTTAAAAAACTAGCTTCTCTTTTCAAATAATGTTATGGCATCTTTAACATCCATCTAGTTCAGACTTGAAACTTAGGTTGCCAACTCTGGTTAAACGTATTCTGAGAGGTTTCATCAGATGATGTAATGCCATTAAAGACGGAGTTACTCTAAAACAAATTCACTGTGGAGTGACTGCAAAACACATTCATTTTGAAAAATGGTTTTGTTCCTTTTCATAATGCAAAACGCTGTGATTGCTCATGAGCCAGGGTTATTTTTGCTCACTATCATAAAGTGAGACAGCACTGACTTTACAGTAGCTGGATAACATAAATCACATCACCAGTAGACCAATAAGAAGATTGAGAGGGCAAGCCACACTGCCTTGACATTTCAAGCACCAGGTGGATTGTAGAGTCTTCAGATGTGTAAGAAATAAACAAGAAAATGATAACATAAGGATAAACCTGTTTCATTATTTAATATTCATTCTGAGAATTCCCTATGATTGTTCTCCCAGGTTGCTCGTAGTATTGTCCATCAGATTAATTTTTAATTCCTGGAGACTCCAGGATAATCCTGGAGGGTTGACAACTCTATTTGAAACTCATACCTTCTGAAGTAAAAATAAGACTAGTAAGCCAGTAGTACCCAAGCGACACTTTGTGGCCTCCAAGATTTGGATCTTGTCAACCTATGCCAATTTCAGAAATTAGGTTAACATAGAGAGATAGAGAGAGAGTTCACATTTTTGCTAGAATGGAAATCATAAATTTATGAAATAGTTTGGTTTGGATTCTTGAATGTGGTGATGGTTTTCTGTATGAGTCAGATACCTATCTGACCAAAAAAAACTCAGGAAATCATCACTGAAAGAGTCTTGGAGGAGAATAGAAGGAACATTGTCATGCCAAAGTTTTTTGGAATATTAAATACCATAAGTAACTATTGATGCTGAAATCATAACAACTTTTAAAAGAGATTTAGGTAAATATTTGATATAAAAGGGCGTGGGGATTGAGATGAGAATTATGATTAGATTAGTTAACTCCATTGAAGATACTGCTCCTTCCTTTTTGTATTTTGGATGATGCTACAGTATTCCAACTTCATTTGACAGGTTTGGCCAACAAAACTAAAACAGAATAGAATTTAGTTAATAATAATAATAAATTGGTGTCCTGTAGCTCAGTGGTTAGAGCACTCGCTTTGCAACTAGAATTTAGTTCTTATGCACGTTCCAGTTATACAGCTATATGAGAGGCATTGCGGCTAACAAAGTAATCTAAGAATATATCAGGCATATTTTAATACTTACTTCCTATTTAGTTGGGATCTTGGGATAAAAATGATAGCATCAGAAATACAGAAGAGAAATCCAAGCTTGTCCAATGGCTCAGTTGATAATGCAGATCCCTAACCACTTCTACATCCCATGGGGCCTCTGCACCTGGTCCCCATCAAATAGCTATATCAGTGACCTCTTTGCTGTTGGCAGGTGCCAGGTCTCTCATGACTCTTCCAACTATTGGAGTGAGAAGCAGTTAGATGTTTTTCCTTTGATATAGAGCCAGTTTTCTCTTAAAGGGAACAGCTTATGTTTGTTACCACCATGTCAGCTCTTATTGCTTGCTTGAAATCCTCTGGAAGCGTTTCTTGGAAGGTTTTGACGCTGGAGAATCCACATCTTCTTCCGATAGTTGCTTCAGACTGTGAAGATAAACTGGTGAACATATAAACATAAACATCCTGAAAAAAACTTCCCTGGACCCATTCCTCCTCTCCAGCTGCTGCCCCACCTCTAACATCCCATTCCTCTCCAAGGTCCTGGAATGAGTCGTCGCGTCCCAGCTCCGCTCTTTCTTTCTCGCCATTTGAACCCCTTCAATCCGGCTTCCGCGCTGCCCACAGCACAGAAAGAGCCCTGGTCAAAGTCACTAATGACATTCTGAACATCTGTGATCAAGGCTCCCTTGTCCTCCTCGACCTCTCTGCCACCTTCGACACTGTCGATCACTCCATCCTCAAACACCGCCTCTCCTCTTTACTTAATCTTCGCAGACCTGCCCTTACCTGGATCGAATCCTATCTCTCTCACCATCTCCACTTTGTTGCCTTAATGGTTTCTCCTCCAGCCCCCACACTGTCACGTCTGGCGTCCCCCCAGGGCTCTGTCCTTGGCCCTCTCCTCTTTAATATCTACATGCTCCCCCTTGGTGACATCATCCGCAGACATGTATGCGGATGACACCCAACTCTATCTTTCTGCCTCCACCCTCAACTCCAGGACCACTGCTGTCCTGATAGACTGCCTGTCAGACATCAAGTCCTGGATGAGGGCAAATTTTCTACAGTTGAATGTGAACAAGACTGAGGCCCTCCTGATTGGTTCGCGCCAGCGCCTCTGCACCTCAGGCACTGGCAGCATCACCTCCATGGTTGCACACTTCAACTCACCGCCAGTCAGGAACCTAGGCATTTTGTTCGACCCTCAACTGTCTTTTCTCCCGCACATTCAAGCCATGACCCACTCTGCCTTCCCTCACCTCCGTAACGTCGCCCGACTCTGCCACTACCTCACCCCTCAGGCCATTGAAACTCTTGTTCATGCCTTCATCACCTCCAAGCTCGACTATGCAAAAACCCTGCTTGTCGTCCATCCCAACTCCTCCCTCCACAGATAATCCAGAACTCTGCAGCCCGTGTCCTCTCCCGCACCAAACTGCACAATGCCATCTCCTCCATTCTCGCCCGACTCCATTGCTCCCTATCCTTCAGAGGATCCAGTTCAAGATCCTGGTCCTCACCTACAAAGCCCTCCATGGCTTCACCCCACTCTACCTCTGCGACCTCCTAAACCCTACCAACCCGCCCGCTCCCTCCGCTCAGCCGGCTCCGGCCTGCTCCACGCCCCCCGACCCACCCGCCCCACCATTGGCGGGAGAGCCTTCAGCCACTCTGTCCTCAACCTCTGGAATTCCATCCCCAAATTACTCCTCCTCACCCCCTCCTTAGCCTCCTTCAAGCCCGCCTCAAAACCCTCCTCTTCGACCATCCCATCGGTCACCCCCCTTCCCCTCTCCTCCCTTCTCCCTCCCTGACCCCAGGTCTGAAATGCTGTACACTGTCCAAGGCCTTGGGACGTCCTCCCGACGTGAAAGGCGCTATACAAATGTAATCTTGTTGTTGTGGTTGTTGAGATGCAATAACACTTTTCAGGGACATTTCTGAAAGGGTAGTGATGGAGGAAAAGATTGCAGCAGATATAGACTTGTTTTGAAATGAAACGGACAGGAAATGGTCTATGGAGGAAATCAAGCAGCTGGTAGGTAAGCCTAAAGTAGACATGAGTAGGTGGAAAGAAGGAATATGTTTGGAGGGACGTCAGAATGGAGTTTTTGGATGTGCAGCTAACATGTTCCTAGAGATGTGGAAATGGGATAACAGCGACCTCAATTTCTACACAAGTACACTATTCAAAATGGGCCACTGGATAGTGATCAGAAAAGAGAAACTGCAGCTGCCTTCATCATTCTCTGAGGTTAGGGCTGAGGATATTTTACCGTCCATTTACACCACTTTATCATGAACAAAATTATTGACCCATATACCAATATAAGGCTTGTTAGCAACAGATTAAGTGGGTTGTGTTACATTTGTTTGGATGACTACCATAATAGTAATAATAATCCTTGCATTTGATATAGCGGCTTATCACATTATCAAAACATCTGAATGTGCTTTACAGGATTTACCCTAAAATGTTTTCCTACATACT